TCTGTAGCTCAACAAGAAGTATTTCTGGATGTTTTACCAGTTACCCTAGATTAGCATAGTATCTCCAACCATGGCAAATTAACATTTTTTTGTGAGTGTTTTGTTGTTGTTGTTTTTTCTTTCTTGTCTCGTGCTGTCAAACGTCTTGTCTACTTTTGTCTCTGCATTGTACATTTCTGTATTCTAGGACCCCCTCGAAAACGAGATGACACATCTCAAGGGGTTATTCCCAATAAAGAATTTCATGAGTGTGCAGAGAGAAGTTGCTGGTTTTGGTCTCTATACGAGCACAAGTTACCAAACTTGACTACAGGACTTAAAAGACAAATAGCATTGTTGCAACAACACTAATAACTGTTCTCTGTAGACCTTTTCATTTATGAGTTAGATAAAGGAGATAACGTCTGTCGTTCGGTGAGCTAAAGGGAAGACTGTCAGCATATTCTTGAACTTAGAACCGAGGGGGGGATTTGAGGTATGCAACACTAGCTACAGCATCAGTGACAGGAGAATGTTTGGGCTTCAGATAAAGCTTAGGAAGAAACTGGCAATGCATCTTAAAAGGCATGCCAACAGCATTGATCAGAGAAGACCTACATTATGCCAGAGACTGTTGGGATGTAAGTCAGGATTTGTTTTTTACGTTTTAAAACAGGGGGTGTTAGCAGTTCAAACACCTTTTTTTTTTACTGACTAAAGCAGGTGATGGTAGTGAAGGAGAAGCTGTTCAGGCCTGTTCAATTTTTGGGGACATGTAAGGTGTTTTGTCAGTCTTGTAGCCTTGGTCCTAAATATAATTTGTAAGCAATTCTTCATTACATTTATTTTTATCTGATCTGCAAAGTGTACTCATCCCGTCAGTAGTCTGTGCTTTTTGAAGAAATCACGTGAGAAAAACCAACAAATGTAGTTTAAACAGATATTAGTAAAGAATGCATTTATGGTTTGTATTATAATAAAAACGTTTATCTGGAGCTCAGCGTAAGTTCAAGCAGGAAGACTGGTTATATTCACTCACATATTCATTCAGTTTTCTTCATGATGATGATCAGCTGATGATGGGCGTTTACTCTTTTAGTAATAATCCAACCTGACTCTGCCACAGCCTCTCTCAACCAATTATCCTGCCGCTGCAAAATTTTAAAACCTGTTCTCTCTCTTCCACAGTCAGTTTGTCATTTCAGTGTGATCGCTGCGACCCTCCTCCTTCGCCCCGGTCACCTCCATACCAGCTCAGCAGAGTTCAGATACAGCCTCAGAAACCCACTCCTCATCACATCCTACATTCTCCTATCACCACCACCACCAGGGTCTAGACTTCATAGGGGGGGATCCTATCCTGCTGTCGGCCTCGAGTTCCCTCTGAGTGCATGAAGTCATCATGACGGAGTCATTGCACATTTGTATTTTCCTGATGTGTTAAATAATTAATCGTTAACTCTTACTTAAGTCTCTCTTGTTCGAAATATCCTGTGCTGATAGTCAATAAACAATATATCTTTACAAAGAATACCATTTTAAACACTTTTTCGGTGGATAAAAAGGGTTATAAACACAATAAATGCTACTGTAATGTGCTATTCATTTCTGTTTGTCACTCTGGTATGTCCGTTTGCTAAGCTGCGTCCTTCGAACACCTACTAAAACTAAAGAAAATTCTTGAACAGAAATAAGAAGAGATATGTAAAAAGGTGAGTGTTTGAAAACTTTCCCTTAGGTTGGCCAGCTTTGTACAGACTTCAGATTGTGGATTGGTTAGGCTGAGGGTGTGTTGTCTGCTGGCATGCATCCTACCACAGCCTTTATAAGTGGCACTTACTTACGTCTGAAATGTGCCCCCTCTAATGAACATCTCCAGCCGGCCCGTAGCAAGCTGGAGATGTTCATTAGAGCTCCGCTGTAGATTTAGTACTCTGACATTACTGTATCCACCCAACAGTAAGGGACAGTGCAGTCAGTTTGCTACGATGACTTTGAGTCCTCGCCAAACTCAATCGGAGGCAATTTACAAAGTGGGAATTTATTTTGAAATACATCACTGAAAGTTTGAGATTGAAGACAGCACATTCAACTGCAATTGTGCTGCAAAAATATTTTAATCAGTATTATACCTAGGGCTGTCAAACAATAAAACATTTTTATTGCGATTTTTCATTAAATTTCAATAGTTAATCGGCTTTAATTGTTTTTTTAATCGCATGTTTGAAATTTCATTATATTGCATTTAAAAATTAAAAAATCTTTAGGCTTTTATTTTGCATTGTTGTACTGTCTTCAGCTCAAAGTATGTCGTGTTTGAATTTAACACTACTTTTATTTTGAAATAAAATAAGGTCATCTGGTAGATCGAAGCTTACAACATTACAACCACAGAAAAAGGAAATGTTACGGATCACAAACTAAAGTAAAACAGCTCAAAGGAACAGTAACAACGTGAAATGTTTGATTTCAGGAGGATAATACTTTTGTCTCGTCAGCTGAGCTGTCTGAGAGTTTTTTATTGTGAAACGAGACATTCAAAGACGCAGCATTCTTTGCCAGCACTGTAACTACAGGAAGATGCTGCAGAGGCTTATCTACGTTGAGCCTAAAGGGACAAAATATAGCATGTGATTTATTGGAAAAAAAAAAAGATTTATTTCAGTCTTTAATTAACTAACTCAACTAGTTAATGCTGACAGCACTAATTATAACACTTAAGTGTGATGTGTGTCTCAGGGGTAGACGCCTCTCAGCCGAAAGGTCGGACATTTGGATCTCTAGGTCGTGCGGCCACATGTCCAAGTTTTTATGTGCAAGAAACTGAACCCCAAATCACTCCCACTGCTACACCAGTGACATGTTAAAGCAAGTGAATGGAATACTACTGGGGCCGCCATCGTAGTGTGAATGTGACGTGTAGTGTAAAAGCAGCGTTGAGTCAGAAGACTAGTTATCCCTGCCTCTGGGAACTTCTGCAACGTAAACACAGTCATTTCTTGATCATAGTAGCTCCAGCTGTCAGTAGTATGAGCCCAAAAAAACAAACAAATTTTCTTGTGATAAACTAACACTTAAACACACAGTATGTAAAATATGCCGCCAGGGGGCTCTCAATCAAAACAATAACAAAAGATGACATCCAGGCTAGTGGGGAGTCCTGGGAGTGTTCTCTGCTACTACTAATGTTTTATCTACAATGGATTTTTAGCTACACTTTTATGCAGATTTCTATTTCTAGAGACGTATAGATAATTATTAGAAAACCATCGACAGGAGCTAGTATGTCATGAGCGCAGATGACGCTCCGCTTGTATTTTGCTGTCCACACGGACCGTTTTCCTGCACACACCAAAGTCTGCTGATATGTGATTGGTTAAATACAGCACACACTACAAATGTTCAAATTCCATTTTGAATATCCAGACCCCTGTGTGCAGATTCTACATAGAAATGTACATAGGTATATAGAGATAAGAAGAAATAGAAAAGTGCTTTACAGGTCCAGGTCCATTTACCGGTGCTATGCTGTTTAGACCTGCATCCCCTCTTTACTGGAAAAGAGCAGCGTTGTAAGAAAAGTGAGTAGAATATATATATGTATTAAGCATATCCTTACTATTACTACTTTTGGCCATACATTTGAAATTCCCATAGTAATTTAAGTAGGTGAATCACGTCAATGCTCAAAATAAAGGATAACAATTACACAGATGTTATGATAATGACAAATATCAATGTTCTTACAGCAGGAGGAAATTTGAACTGTATCAAAACAGGCTCTGCAGTGTCTAATTATGTTGAGTTTCCCTTCATTGTGTGTGTGTGGGTGTGTGTGTGTATGTGTGTGTGTGTGTGTGTGTGTGTGTGTGTGTGTGTGTGTGTGTGTGTGTGTGTGTGTGTGTGTGTGCTTGTACATGTGTGCCTGTGCACTGGGTGGCTGAGCTCACTGAGTATCTTCTCTTTTGCTTTGAAAATGTGTTTCAGACAGGTGTGTAATGCCACAGCACTGTCATAAATAAATGACTTGATAATTTTAGCATGATGTTGCTGAGGTAAAAATAGAAATGCATTGCCAGCAATGCCATGCAAAGCTGGTTCATCCAGCCGGTGGTGAGTAAAGGGTTCAACTTTTATCCTTTAAGCCCCATCAATGATAAATTAAGTGAGGAAATGTGAACATGAAAATAGTAAACGTGCACAACTCCCGTCTTGATCTGCTGCCCTGTGTATTTACCTCGGGTCATGTTAAGATTGAGTATTTATGCTTTTCTGGTGACAATGAGTTAAGTCAAGATCTCACACACCTTTTCAGCTGCTGCACACAGTTTCAGCTAACTCTTACAAACATGAGTTTTAAAAACAAGACCAAGTGCTCCAGGAGATTGTGTTGTTACACGGGGAAACAGTTCAATTTCAGATATCCATGGTGGAAACTTGCAACAGGTTGAGAGATTATTATTGTTACCACTGCTCACCATCAGAATGTTATACTGGCTGTAGAAAATTATACAAAGTTCAGAAAGGAGGTTACCTCAATAAAAGGCTGCTGTTCCTGCCTTCTCATGCTGTGGCCCCTTTCTTCTCTGAGCTGCCTGGCTTTTACTTGTGTGTTGCACAAGCTGACTACTTCATGCAGATCTTATTTTAGTTGCAATATCTCCATTAACTATCAGTTCTTGTCTAATCGTCAGAAGAAGCCAGCTGTTTGAGGCATAACCTCGGGTTTATTTAAAATATTAAAACTGTCTCTGCCTCTCCATCACTTGCACTCACACACTAACATACACACATCCATTCTCTGCAAGGCTTCTTATTGCATTATGGGTGACCGGGTTATGGAGGAGGAAGTTTCAGGAAGCGCATGCATGTTTTTAAGTATGCTGAAACATTGTATAGACCACACACGCGCAACCAGGGAACGGTGACCGTCTCCTTACATCACCATGGCAGTTTCAGTGTCCCTGGTGAGTGTGAGAGCATGGCAGGTGAAACGAAAAAAAAAAAAGCCTTAAACTTACCGCAGTCCTCGCACAGCACTCTCTCTACATCCTTCTTCAGCTCCGGCTCACTGGCGTCAACAGGGGCGTAAGATGCTTTAAATACCAAGGGCTCAGCAGTCGGGTCCATGAAAAAGATATATCTATGGTCCTTCTCCACCGTGGTGCAGGGGGCCTCGGAGCCGAAGTCCCCGACGGTCACGAGCTGCTCCCTCTCAAGGCCGCCGCTGTTGACGGGCCACACGTCCAGCACTTTGACATTCACACTGTAGGGCTCCCGGGAGGAGACGTTCTCCGTGGAGGAGCGCACCTCGCCCTCGATGACCACGGCTGATCGGTACGCCTGGTCCTGGAGGGAGTTGAGACTCGGGGCGTAACAGGCGAAGGAGACCCCGATGACCAGCATGGAGAAATGCACTGGATCAAGCCTCATGCCGTCAGCCTGTGCTGTGCTGCAGTGCTGCTGGGCGGCGGAGCGAGCTGGAAGAGAGAGACGGCGGCGAACGGGCTCCGGCAGAGCAGGCAGGGCAGGGCGGCAGACCTTGTGGAAGTGTCCATGCCATCTGTGTCTGCCGCTGCTTTCCCCATACGGCTGCTGGCCTCGGATGGAGGGACACACCAGCCTAAGAACCGGAAACGGCCCGCTTCTGCATGCTTAAAAATGTGTTTGCTGCATTCTCCATTCTCCTCAACCAACCACCCCCCTCTTATCTCCTCTTTTCCTGAAAGGCAAAAAAAGGACTCGTAAATTAGCCTCTCCTCGAACCTAGCTCTAAACGGCTATCTCTCTCCCACTCTCTCTGCCTGCTTCCCTCACTCTCTCTCTCTCTCTCTCTCTCTCTCTCTCTCTGTCTCTCTCTCTCCAGCTAATAGGCTAGCATCGCATGGGTGGGCGCATTGCCTCTGTTGAAGGGAAAAAAAGCAGTTTGCGCGTACAGAAGAATCACAAGAAACAATACGCACTCCACTCACACGCAAGGTCGGGTCCTTTGTCCACTCATCTCGGTCGTCAAAAGAGTCCCACAACTGCAAATGTGTTAGTCGAGAATCGGATTTAGAAAAAGGCGAACAGAAAACGGAGGGGGGGACAGACAGGATAAGATAGCAGCGGTTGTCCGGTGAGGCGATGCAACAGTAGCGCGCACCCTCCAGCCGCGTCCCCTGCGCCCCTCATCAAACGCGAGCGGCTTACGTGAGCAAACATCACCTGCCCGGTCATTGGCGTCGGCTCGCCACGTCCTGCGCAAACACCCTAATGACCCGGCACCCCTCCGGCACACCGCCACAGACCCAACCCGCATGTGACCATTTCAGTTGACGGTGTAAAACCTCTGCGGGGGATCCAACACAGGCAGAGTACAGACACCCAGCGTTGAGTGCGCCTGTAGCCAAGCCCTGCACAGCACCCACTGAGGATCTCCAGTGCAAGAGGTGCAAGGGGGGCTATAGGCGACCACACACACTGCGGATAGTTGTTGCGATGACTAACGCTGCGAATTTCTTTTCCGCGGATTCGTTACTACGGCGCGGCAAATCGGAAGTTTCAACACTTCAGCCTTTTGCCGTCAGCCCGCTGCAAGAGATCCAAATCCTGAAATTACCCACATTTTAATTCATGACAGTTCAATATTGCTTTTGGACACCATAACAGCCCATGTGTATGATAGGCTACTGAGAAGAAATACCCAAATATGTTGCCAATCCTGTTCAACTACAGCTTATAAAATCACTTTTCACTTGATAAAACCTCCACATTAATTCGACTTTCTCCACAATATGCTCGTGCTTTTTTTTCTTCTAATGGCCACAAAAATCCCCTCCTCCCCCAGCAAACTAGCCTCTATATCCATCTGTGTATCCATCAATCAAGCCATTCACAAGATTTGCTTTTCTCTCCCTGTCAGGAGTTGTGCGTCCTTCACTAGAGGTCAGAAAGCCTTCCATTGGCCGTGCTGAGAAAGGGATAAAATATAATGTCATAGGGGACAAGTGGAGCGCTTTTTTTCTTTTTTTTTTGTTACAATAAACGATTTAGATGACAAAGAAAAATGCATGAGGTACTATTTCATCACAGTATGCACCTACATCATGGCCTTACTCACATTTTACCAGCAGTAGGGTCAAACAGGGACCAGTCCATGGTGCTGAAAGGCTTGACAGGTTTACTGCTATGTCCCAACCGGCCAGTCACATGAAACCTCATCTAGAGTGAAGGCCAGAGTCAGATTTTTGCAATAAAGGATTGTCTCCTCTCTGCATGTATGTACCCTTCCTCGCTTTAATATATTGACACAAGTTCCAAAGAGTTATCTTCTTCTACTGGTAAGTGTTTCATACAATTTCACTCCTGTGTTTGCCCCTGGTGCTCAATGATTACCAACATGCAGGTTTATATTTTCTCTTAGTCAAATGTTCAAGGTCCTACATTACTGGCATTGTTTCATCAAATCACTTTAGGAAAGCAATCCAGCCCAATTTAGACCATTGTCTCATCTTTATTCAGCCAACCTCCCATCTATTCATTAGAGCCCTTATTCAAAGACCTTGGACACGAGTTAAGAGTTCCCAAAGCCTTAAAAGCAAATGATGAGTTGTCAAAGCACAGGAGTCCTGCTGACTTGTCCAAAAGACTGCCATGAACTGCTTCATGATTCCCTTGATACTGAATTCATGGGGATGATGCATTTAAATAATGCACATGGCATGTCAGCAGGGTTTTGATGTTATTTTATATTTGTGATGCTAAATTAAAAATGTTTTTTGGCATAGCTGCTGTTTTTTTGATAAAGTCAAATAGACAGTGTCTATATGCAGTTCCCCTTACAGTCATATTTACCTCAAATTTACTTGAATTCAAACATGAATCCAATTTGTTGTTATGTCCATGCCTCTGCTGGTTCTGGTTATAAAATACAGAAATGAATGGGCTTTTTGAAATAGATCGGTCTAACCTTTCCTTTTCTGATCAAAACCCTTCTTTTACAGGTCCCTAAGTCATATAAAGCATACTTCTAGAGGTAAATCATTCAATCAGCTAAATTGTATGTGTACATATAGCAAACCAAAAATGGTGAAAATGATTCGGATAACAAATCTCTTAGTCATACATGTGGTTATAGATTTATTCTATGCTTGTGCGTTTTGAAGAAATTCTGCTTTTTGGGGCTTGTATCATTTCATGGCCTACAGTGTGAACATAACCGACTTACAAAACTTAATATGTGCTTATAGGACATAAATGAACTACCAAGGAAAATGCTTTTCCCTGATGTTTCCCTACATTTCTTTTAAATAAACAACACACAAACAACTATTAGTTAACAACTAAGGAATGTGGTGTTGTGTTCCTTTTTCAGAATTTGTCAATTAAAAGTAGGCTATCAATATTTCACACCTGTCTAGAATTTGACAATTAGCTTTTTACTGCTTTTCACTGAAGAACCCTTACACAGTCATTGAGACACAATAGATTGCAAGCAGATCCAGATAGATAGATCATTGTTTATTCAGATATATTTATTTCCCCTTCTCCCCCTGTCCCTCTGTCTCCTAAAACAGGGACTGTCCAAGTGCGCTGTCCGTGGTGCTGAAAGGCACAAAAACTGTCCATGGTGCTGAGACACCCAAAGCAGTAACACTACTCTTGTTCCTTTTCTTCTATCTATCTATCTATCTATCTATCTATCTATCTATCTATCTATCTGTCTGTCTGTATGTATGTATGTCTGTCTACCTATCTATCTATTTATCTGTCTGTCTGTCTGTCTGTCTGTCTATCTATCTGTCTGTCTATCTATCTATCTGCCTGCCTTTTTGTGAGTTAACTTCAGTATTAAGCTACACTTAAGGTCAAACAGAAAACTCTGCGACACGTTGCAAAAACAGCGCTATTGTCTTGAACGCAGCCTGCTTCTTTTCCTCCTCTCCCACTCTCTCATCTCGCGATAGAGCGGCGGAGTGGTTTGACGGGCAGTCGAGGTTGCAGCAGGCAGAGGGAGACGGTGGAAGGTAAAGCAGGGAGGCAGCATCATGGCGGACAGAGACAGTGGCAGTGACCACGGCGGGCCCACCGCAGGCCCCGGCTCGCTGCCCCCGGGTGCGTTGGGTGCCATGTCACGGCTGCAGCACGACACCGAAGAGCTCGCATCCAAGCGCGTCGACATCCAGAACAAGCGTTTTTACCTTGACGTGAAGCAGAATGTTAAAGGCCGCTTCCTAAAGATAGCCGAGGTCGGAGCTGGGGGAAACAAGAGCCGCCTCACTCTCTCCATGTCGGTTGCCGTGGAGTTCCGCGATTATCTAGGGGACTTTATCGAACATTACGCCCAGCTGGGCCCGACTAACCCGGACTTGGTGCAGGATGAGCCCCGGCGGGCGCTTAAGAGCGAATTTCTGGTGCGGGAGAATCGGAAATATTACATGGATCTGAAAGAGAACCAAAGGGGGCGGTTCCTGAGGATCCGACAGACCGTTAACCGGGGGCCCGGATTGGGAAGCGCGCAAGGCCAGACTATTGCTCTGCCGGCGCAGGGTCTCATTGAGTTCCGTGACGCTTTGGCAAAACTCATTGATGACTACGGCGTGGACGAGGAGCCGGCGGAGCTTCCGGAGGGCACCTCGCTCACGGTCGACAACAAGCGCTTCTTCTTCGACGTGGGCTCCAATAAGTACGGAGTCTTCATGCGGGTCAGCGAGGTGAAGCCCACGTACCGGAACTCCATCACGGTTCCGTGCAAAGTGTGGTCCAAATTCGGCAACACCTTCTGTAAATACGCGGAGGAGATGAGGAAGATCCAGGAGAGGAGTAGAGAGAAACGGGCCTCCGAACTGCTACCTGAGGGCCCGCTCGGCGGAGATGACGGCGAGGATGACTGACGCGGATTTTAAGAGAGCAGGAATGAACCAACAAAGAAAAAAAACTGAACTCTGAGTTAACGAGACTTTTAACTGTAAAATAGAAAGAGATTTTCCAAGGGAATCACCCCACACACACACAACCTCCACAGACATGGCAGCACTTCTGCTGTCTCCTCGCCCATTCTACTGGATGTCACCCCACTTACCACCCATTAAACAGTAAGCCGCTGCTATCAAGGATTGAACTGTAAGATATGAACTGTTTCCTACTTGATTTAAATGACAATGAAGAGTGTTTGTATCTCTATCAAATGACAGATTTTGCATACATCAAAGCTATTTCGAAAAAAAAATGTTGAAATGTTTTCAAACTGGTCATATGCTAAGTTTTAATCAAACATAAAACCAGAGGTCTATTATATAAATAACAGTCTTCATGTAGAACGAATTTTGAAATCCGCACAAAGAGAATATATTATGGACTTTATGAAACCAAAACGTGATATCAGATGTATAGTTTAATATAAAGGTACGCATAAATAATATGAAAGTGCTCTAAAAGTGTATGAATTGCAGAACGTAGCAACGTTAGCATGGGGATAAGCTCATGTTTTGAAAATAAGCTTGGCAGAAATGGGCTATAGTCTGTAATTTGACTTTAAACATGGTAGGCTAATGAAAGCATCTCTCTCATGATATTATGAATAGTTGGAGACTTATAACTAAATTGCCTATTTTGTGCGCCTCAACAAATGGGATTAATCTCTCTGAACTACTCTACTAAATATCAACCCTCTTGCACCATGTCCATATAAACTTTAATGAAAAAAAGAAAGTGCTAACTAAGATGTAATAATTATGATTTTGTGAATCAGCTGTAAAAAAAGACAAATCCTTATTAAGATACCCACGTTTTCTGTGGGTTAAGTATTTTCTTTGTTACTTTGTTTTTTCCTCTGGGGGGGGGTTGGGGATGCAAAAGGATAAGGTCCACTTGTGGGAGCGCTCGGCGCTAAAAGAAAACAGATATGTCAGGACAGCACGCAGCGGGACAATGCATCCTCTCTGACATCATTACGACCCGTGCCTTATACACTCCACTCGTTTACGTGTTCTCACGTGGATGGTCTGTGACCTTGACCGCTGTACGCTTTTATTTACGAGTGCTGTTATTAGGCCGAAATACACTCACCCGGGCTGCAGGATCACATCCCTGTGTTGCATGAAATATAGGTGACAACAGCAAAAGTAAGCTGAAAAGCTGCTGGGAGAATGAGGGCCAAGGATGATCGTTAACACAAACAGAGCTCTAATTCGTTTAGGCTCTTCAGAAACATGGGGTGCCACTGTACAAACGTACAATTAGGAAACAGGAGGGGGGGGGGGGGGCTCAATGTTATGGCACCCTCTGCCCCCTGTATCCCTAGCAACAACCCTGGCCTGATGGCCTCTCATGGAGTAGAAATATGGCTCCCTGGAACAGGAGAAAGACCCAGGTTGCACTGCCTGTGGCTGCCGACATGGATGCTATCTAAATGCACCATGATTATAACAGCAGCAGCAAAATCAATTCTACACCAGGAATGGCTGGTTGAGGCTACGTGTCGGAGCTAAGAAGGTTGCAGTTAAAAAGCCAGGCAGTCAGCCTGCCAGGCAGTCGTGCCGGGCTGTCCTACGCTATCAGTCTATGTGCTGTCCAGTGGAAGTGGAGGCCTCTCAGTGCAGGGTCGAGGTAGTTTCTTTCTCTTTATGGTGCTACAGGCCATCGATCGCTCCAACGGGCCTCACTGTTTAGAATGTGTTACTTTCACATCATTTTTTTTTCTAATCCTCTTTACTTTTGTCAAATTCCTTTGCTCCACATGATGTTGTCCACAAGGTGTCAGGTTTCTCCTTCCCAGGCAGAGAGGAGGCCACTGACTTGTGTAGGACATTTCATACTAGTGTGCAATATTGTGAGTGCCAAACCCGGCATTGTATCACGTGTATACACTATTAAAAGAGAAAAATGTATAGGCTATGTGTTCAGTAGATATTTGAAAGCATGACAATGAGGTTGTTGGACCTGCATTGTATATCCAAAATGTGAAGTCTTTCTTCTCATGCACTTGCTCAAAGTGAAAAAAGGCAGACTTGTAGTGAGGTATTTTTCCTGTCATGTTCTGTAAACCAGTTGGCTGCCTTGTTTGTCTATCAGTATGCGTAGACTAGTTCGGGTGTTTTACGTCCCCCTATAAGTAAAAGCCTCTCCCTCATCGTTCCTCTGCTAACAAACAACACAAACATCACTTTCTGTCTCTTTCAGTACATTTTCATGCACAAATAAATTGAGCTATAATTATAGCTTGATTAGGGCCATTTAATTGGACTTTGGTCCTCGTCCTAGAATACAAACAGTGGGGGAGAATCGTGGACAGACGTATGTCCAGCCCTTTAGTAGGTGACGATATGCCCCTTTCAGCTCGTTACAATTGAAACGTCTTCTGGTTGACTTATGTCACATTCAAGACAATCAAAAAATAACTTAGCAAACCTAATTGTACATCAAATGGTGTAACATGGACAACCTTACAGCTCTGTAGATTTTTGTACTTTCTTGCTCGAGCACTCCCAATATAGATTCCTGCTTCACTGTCACAGCCCTACGCAGGAACTGTAGAGCATGCATGGAACGCCTAGGCCAGTTTTGGGCTCGTTGAGGTGTACACATGCAAGAGTTAATCGACCCCAAACCGCATTATCTAGGTGTGTTAGATAGATAGATCGATAGATAGATAGATAGATAGATACTTTATTGATCCCGAGGGAAATTCAGAAGTTAGTTTGAGGAATTCAACTTAATCTCTTTCAGACTAACATGTAAACATGTATTTGAAAGTCCAGTTTTAGTTGGACTAACACAATAAATCGACCTTTTTAACTTCATGTAAACGTACTGCTCGTTAGCCCTGCAGACTGATGTTGAATAGTATCTCAGAGCTTTGGTCTCGTGTTGGCTTACACAAACAAACACACACAGACTCTCTCTCTCTCTCACTCTCTCCCTGTTTATAGGCCTCTTGTTGCTATCCGAGTGTTTGGAGGCCTCTGAAGTATTCAGGACGGTATCTAGAAGTGCACTGGGTCACCTGTCCTTAGAAGTCTATAAACTGCAATGAGCCTGAGCTCTCTTGCTTGGGACTGCCCATCACAGGACAGGTGAACTACACTACATTGAATTCATCTAGTTCAATATGAGTTAGGAAAATGTGATCGGCCAAAGGACATCCACAGAAAAAAAACCGAGTTTGATATATTTCCAATGAGGATCACAGTCCTTCTCTGGAATACTCTCTGTCAATCACAGCCCTTTCCTTCTTTTGACCCTTTAAACATCTTGGTTTCCACTATTAACAAATAATTCCCCAAGTGGTTATTTCACCTACTAGCTATATTTAAAGCAGGTTGGCCTACACCTGTTAATACGTCTGAGCCTGGTCATAGGCCATGTCAGAGTTGAATGCCATCTAGGTTGCATGATGAGGAGGACTTGTGGCTTGCGGCTTAAGAGACCTCAGGTGGATAAAATGTACCAATGTGGTCATAGCCTGGGCTTGCCATTAATACGGGATATACGAGGCTACACTTAAGTAGAACACACACCTGAGCTGAAACAGTGCCCTTTGAATCGCTGCCAATTAAAGTTGATCTGTGTTTGATTAGGCATGCCTGTAACAACACGGCCAAGGAAAATGTTCAAAGAAAATCCCATCTGTTATGTGCAGGACTTTTTGGCTAAATTGCGTCTCTGTGTATTGTTGAAAGGCCTCATGAAGCCTGGAAATGTATAGTAGAAAGCTTACCAGCAGCCTAGCTTGACCTATTGACCCATCTGTCAGACAGATCCAGTTTTTCATTTTCATCTCTGTTTGGAGAAATGATATTATATCCTCACACTGCCCTTTGGAATATAAAAAGACCATCCTCATCAAACACACGTACAAGCCACCAATGACTATGTGCCCAACAAAGCACATCTGAGGTCGTTCTGAGTTCATCTGGAGTTCAACATGAATCTGGACTCTATGTTGAGATACAGCACTTACTCTCCTAAGTGTCCTAACTTGAGCTTGATTCAATTCAGGCCTCTTGGAAGCTCATGCTACATGAAGACTGGAAATACTATACTTCCTTTCCCTTACAAACAAATAAAAGGAGAGCCTAGACCTGGTCATAGTTAACATTGGTAATGCCTCACTCTGTTTAACGCACACATTTTCTAAAAGACTAAAAGACGTGTCTTGTTTCGTTCAGAGTCTGTAATCGCCATGTGCTACTGGGTCAATTGTGTTTGTAGTGCAGAATGATTGTGTTGTGAAGCATGACTTATCTATTAAGGAATTAGCTTTATCTGAGTAACGGTGGAGGGGGCACTTGGGATTTTTGCAGAAAAAAAAAACCATGGGACAGATTGGGATTTCTCAGCTTTTGAGACCTTAACCGAGTGTCCCAGCTAAACGTGCAGTGACCTTGCAGCCATGTTGTAACAACACCAAATGGTCATTCATTTCTGGGACCCAAATGCTAAAATGGTTGGCTGATGTTTGCTGTCTTGCTTTCTGCATGAGGCTTCAGTGTTGAAGCTGTTGGCTGTCTTCAGATGTTTTCTGGCTAACTTCAGAGTAATATTTGATGTTTGACTGAAGCACTGACAAGAATAATGTCTTGATTTATTATACAGCTACAGCCATCGTAGCAATCCTTAATCATGACCTTATCCTGTCTTTCTCTGATATTACTGCTGAGTTCATCAAGTCCCGTTTTGTTTAAAGCAGGGATTTTTTGCTCCTCAGTAAAATGTGACCAGACCATTTCTTACACATTTGAATAGATGATGAAATAAATTTTAGATGATACTCTTAATGCAGCAGTAGTTACTTGTTGCATGTAAACATAATCGATTGTTCCGATCTTAGTGGACTGCTCCGATCTTAGTCGATTGCTACGATGGCTCCAATGGCAGGTGCTTGGTCAGCTTGTTCCCCGTGTCTTAAATGGGGAGATTATTCATGTCGTTGACTGCAGTTCAACAGCCACAGGTGCAGGACTGATAACAGCAAATGTCAGCTATTGAAAAGTGGGTAAACAAGTACTGACTTTAAACAGACTGAAACTTCCATAATGTCTATTAGATAACCAAATCTGTTCTGTTTCTGGTTACAGTGTTGTAGTCTTTGATTGGCCGTTCAGAGTTCCTGGTTAATCACACAGCCAATTGCAGCATCTGGTCAGAGCCAAGCACTGACTCATCCCAAACTACTGACAGAGAGAGTCATTCAGCACGCCTTCTGTTTGCACAGCAACCAGGTTGTAGGGTCCATCATGTTTGCAGATTAGACAGGCTACTGTTGTGTTTAGCTATAAAGAAGTTCTTTCAAATGTTTGGAACTGGAGTTTAAGGGGAGGGGCCAATGCACAATGAACATATCCCATGTCACCGTTTGGTCTGTATCCCTTTACCATCCCCATATGAGATAATATGTTGTATCTTTCAAAAAATATTTTATCTGTGGTGTGTATGTATATATATATATATATGCGTGTGTGTATGTGTGTGTGTGTGTGTGTATATATACATATATGTATATATACATATGTATATGTATGTATGTGTATATGTGTGTGTATGTGTGTGTGTGTGAGTGACACACACACACACACACATGGTTGTTTGTTATATATGATGCTCCTCCTTTCAGAAAAATATAACATGTAAACAGGAAAAACATAATGCTGTTTTTTTCCTTTGTATTTTATACTTACAGAGAGCATTGAATAAAAAAATGGATAACTACTTGCACTTTAGATATATTAAGAAAAATAAATATCTGCATATTATTTTTTATAGGGATCTCACATTCAAAGAGTATAAATTACAGGCTTTGTGACTATTGCTGGACAGAGATGTATTGAGTTTGACTTATTGAAGTACATTTTATCCGTGTTTCAGGAGGTTTACTAAAGTAAATTGCATGATAAAGTAGTGCTACACCGATATTGTTCCTTTTTTTTTAGTTGTTAAAAATGTCTGAAAACTGTGATAACAACCCTCTTGTATCATGTTTAATCTCTCCCTTATAGAATATTTCTACCTGAAATATGGCCTTTCCTGACTACATGACAATGGTGCTTACTTTGGCTTTGACATCGAGCTCATTCTGTACATCTCAACATCTTTATAACGCACATCCTTACACTTCATTACTTTCTGTTATGTACTCTCACTACCTTATTAAATTTCCGTTGATGGACTAAAGGTGTGCTGTTTTGTACATTGCTGTTTGTTTTAATGTTCGGGGAGCCTTGTTGTCTGAAAATGACTAATCGCGCAATAAAAAGTCATTCCAAACGTCCCCGTCTCTGCACAACTGTCTCAACTCTACAATCCACCACTTTTAGCAGCTTAGGTTGATCGATATAAAGATCATTTATGAATTGGAGGTTAAAATGTTTTTCTCAAACAACGCTAACTACCTGTGACTATTTATACTATATTTTCCCATTATTCAGCTGTCCTCTTATTGTGTTCTTGAATACACTATGTAAAGATTACAATGGTGGTTTTTATATAAATATCAGATTTTAAACATCAAGGGTAGAAGGCCAGATTGTTGCCAAATTAATTTAGAAAACTTTTCAGCCTGTGACCCCCAATATGACGCTGCTAGAGACTGGATATGGTTAAAAAATGTAACGTTGTGCACAGCCTGCGAACCCTGGCATTAGAAAACCACAGCCCGAACACCATCACATTATTTTTATAAATTATTATAAGAAACTACTTTTTTTTATGTATTTTCACAATAATGGGTAAAATATGCTATTTCAATCAATTTTCCATTTTTGTATGTTTTCGGAAGGAATCTCGCGTCCACCCTAACAGTGTTTTGCAACCCCCAGTTTGAGAACCACTGATATAGAGGACAGCACCTACTATTGTCAGCAAGGTGATGATTTTTAACTCTGCACAAGCTAACAGGTCAGAGCACCAAAAGTGATAAAAACTTAAGCCACTTTTCGACCGCAGGAACTTTTCCTAGGAACTAGGAACCTTTTGAGGAACTATGCACATGTACATTTCGACCGCAGGAGCCAGGTACTAAATTTAATTTGTGAGTAATAGATCTATTGGTGCATTCCATTTGATCTCGGAAGCAGGAAATTCTGAGTTGCAGGTCTGATACGTCATCAGGAACGCCCCCATGAAGTCCAAATAACGACTCAGAAACTTGGAGAACCTTCAGTTAAAATCCAACATGGCTGCTGTGTGCGACAGTAACTTTTAAGCTGTAACTATTGTGTTTATTAGCAAAGTAGTCCTCTTTTTGTGTAATAAAAACAATCAAGCTGATAGTATCCTGTAAGTTCTGTCTGTGGACTTGTTGTCGTGTCATTTTTGTGCACAAACTATCACACAGTGTGTTCTTATCGTCTTGTACTAGCTTACAAAACAAAGGTACTTCTGGAGGTGTCCGGTGGCCTCAGCTCCGAGATCCGAGAACCGAGGTCCGAGGTAAATAGAACACACGATATCCCCTTAAAAACACTCTGCTTGGGGGGGCCTTGGTGGCCTGCAGTGCTGAAAGTCTCTGATTGGTCAGCCACAGCAGGGTTTTAGATCAGCCACAGTGTTTAAAAGTTACAAGCTCACAGACCCCCAGAAAAAAAAGGAACAAAACATGATATTCTAATAGGTTAATTCCGGGCAGGTTTTTACAGATTTTAGCTCGGCCATCAAAGGCATCATCTCAATTTTTCTTTGGCTAAATGAGTATCTTGCTTTATGATATGATCAATGATCAGACTTTTAACATTCCAGCCTTCAGCATTCCTTTAAGAAAAGCCAGAGAAGAAAGATTGAGATAGACCGACAAAACGGAATCTGTCAATAAACATTGCCTTGAAGGTCACTTTTTTCTCTAGACACTCAAAGGTGCGGTATTTCATTTCAAATATATACTTTTTCCAAATCTTAATTTGAAATAGCTCTGTGGCTGGAAAGCAAAGCCAACATGGCAGTGCTAAAGCTTGCTGTGCAACCTCTTGTGAGTTTGGTTTCATAATGAGGGACTCTTTTCTGTTTAACGTGTCTGTTTAAAATGTGATAAATATGACTTAGAGTCATGGTCACATCTGTGGCAGCTCTGACTCAGAGGTGACTGCTACTGGCTGTCCTGTTAGGTGTCAACCTGGCTAATTCACTCCCTCTCAGATAGGTTTGTGCCATGCAAATATCAAAGATGCTATCCTACGTCCGTTCCATTTGTGGGTGAGTAAAAACGTGATTATTATTAGAGCCCGACCAATTAATCAGCCAGACGAAAATATCAGCCGATATTAGCATATCATGTGACGACTGGTATCTAATTTTATCGCAGATATTACTAGATTTATTTACCAGTCAAATAGCATTTCATTTGAGTTTCATAGAATTACACGAGCAGTTCTCTTTCTGGCTGCCACCAGCAGGGGGTGCTATATGGATTACACCAAGCATTGTCACTATCCAGAGTGTCAGGTGATGCACTTACATGCACAGTTACTTCCCATTTGAGTGACCATCTTTTTTTTCATTATATTTCTTTTCTACAAGTGTATATCTGCATCTGAGGGATTAACAGTAAACATGTGTAAATCTATATCTACCAATCTCTACAGATCTAAGAAAGATATCGGCCGATATATTGGTATGGTGTCACATTTTTCTCTCACCGTAATATCGACGTCGATATCGGCCTCTAAGAGCCCACATCGGTCGGGCCCTAATTATTATTCTAACATGTTAACACAGGTCTATGTAAACATAACTGGCTGGTTAGCTCTTACAGTGTTTCTCATACTGAATATTTGTTTTGTCCTTTGCAGAGAAGATGGTGAGCTTTTAGTGGAGAGAAGACTTGGTGTTTCAAGTTAACCTCCTTGTTTTGTTTACCTGCGGGTTCCACATGTTTAGCTTTATAAGTCGGCTATGAGCTACTCCTCTCAGAATTTATAGCTTCTTACTGACTCCAACCTCTCATCTAAAAATGATCACTGCTGACTCCAGAAAAATAACCTGGCCTTAAGCGTTCTTCAAGCTATCAAAATGCCAGTCAACAAACGAATAGGTGGCTTTGTCAACATCCTGTATACAGTCTTTTATATATCCTCACAGACCTCCTGCTAATGTTCAAGGAGTGTGCACAAACACAGCCCAGGGTTCATACTCTGAGGATAGTCTGGGCTATGCCAAGTGAACAAAGGAAGAGGTGTTTGCTGTTGAGTCGAAACCGTCAACTTTAATAGAAGTGTGAAGACCGTGTACTTACCGATGTTGGAAATGCTGTATATTGCAGCTTTGAACTGAAATAAAAACTGTTCATAAGATTACACAAAGCATTGTGTATATACAAAGACACTAGTGGCATCCTGTTCCTTCAGTTTATATTCACAAAAAAAAGATCAATAGGCACAGTTATCTGTATAAAAGTTGACTTTATGAAGCACAGACTTAAACTCAGTAAATACGTCCTTTATAGTGTGAGCATCCTGTCAGAAAAGTTCCAATATACAAACAAAAAAGCAGACCCAACACCGACATCAAAGTGCCAAGGTTGTACTTATTTAAATAAACATATAAACAATCCTATAATACAGCACAGACCTACCCTAGAACATCGGGAAACACTGGTTATCACAACAGCCAAAGTGACTATAAGGGGGCAAGTCTCCGTGTAAGAAAGCATTTATTCATCCAAACAGTTCAGCTTTATAAAAAAAAAAAGGTACTTTCTTTTGAAAAACTCAGCTCCACTTCAGCATTTTAGTCTCTACAAGCATTCAATTCCAGGATTCCAGTTGTGGTTCCAGGTTTCCAGCTCAGTCTCAAAAGGATCCCAGGCCTCATTGGAAACTATAAATGTGTTATATGCTGTGACAAGCGGAGATGTTACTGTTCATACTGTCTATATCCACCGGTCCAGTTCTGTGGATATACTTCTGAGCTACACTGGGACAGAGGAAGAACTACACTTACTGATCTACAGTTGTGTCATAAGCAAATTACATAAAAAGAGAAATGTGTGTGTGTTTAGTTGGGTCTGTAAATATTAAGGTGCTCATAAATAGCAGTACCACCATCCCTCCCACCCCATCTCCTACTTCCTAAAATTACAAAAAGTTTTCGTCCAATTAGAAACAGGCTTAATATGACATGTTCTGCTACACTACCATCCTCTCTAAGATTTTGGGAAATAAGTGCAATCTTCCTCAAAAACATCTTATTCTCTAAACACAAACACTAGTTGATTTCCAATATGAGGCCATGCCAGCTACTTCTATGTTTTTAAATTGGAATTGAAAAGATATTTGTTGGATCTGTTTCAGTTCAATATACAAATGTTATCAGGAGGAGAACGGCTGCCTGAGGGCTGAAGATGCTTTTGATCCAGGCCTGTTTGTGAAGGCTGTGTTGTTCAACAGAAGGCCATTGTATTGTTTCCTCACCAAACATGCTCAATAAAGTCCTGTGAAACATTTTCTGACTGCTGTGTTTACTCCCCAATGCCAACAGCTTCAACATCTTTTCACTGGAACCACCTCACCTTGCATGCCATTGAACAAGCCTGTGCACACACGCTCACACACACTCTCACACACACACACTCACACACACACTCTCACACACACACTCTCACACACACACTCTCACACACACTCTCACACACACACTCTCACACACACACTCTCAATCAGCTCAGTGCACATGTTTTTGGTATAAATCAAAACATGGCACAATGAATTTATTTAGCCACATATTATTCTTTTCAGTTCAGGTTTAAGTTGTAAAAAAAAAAAAAATAGTAATTGAATACATGTGAATATTTGGAGCACAGACAGCTTAAAACAAACACAAGGAATATACTTGATTGCTTTGTAAAGGAGGTGACTTACACACCCCAATCTCTCAACAAGTAGGCACTCCACCTCCAGTATAGAGAAACAGCATATTGAACAATTCAAACCAACGTTGTTCCACTTGGCAGCTCGTTCACAGGTACATATAAATGAGACTGAATGCATGTCAAGAAGGAAATGCTGAAAAAGAGTAAGCATGCTCTACTGCTGTGAATAAAGGATTGAAGGAATAAATAAATAAATATGCTATACATGGCAGGGACTTGGTCCTTCTTAAAGGCTCTTATCAGAGTTTCTGAAACTCCGATAAGAGTATGCTGTATCATAAACATGTCACACTCCACCCGTACTGTAGGTCCTTGTGTTTTGTTAGGTGCGTAAATGAGAGAAATAAAAGGCCAAAATGCTACAGTAGTACCATCTCTTTCCGAGACACTGCCTGACTCATGGACTGCATGACGAGGACAGGACAGAGAGCACAACGGCAAAGCAGCCGCCTCTCTCTCTCTCTCTGTGAGTACTATATCCGGCCTTGAATTAATACTTTTTTATGACTCAAAGTTCTGCTCATAACAAAGAACACATTTGAAATAAAGAAAACTGCATTGCTCTGAGATTCATTTCAAAATAATACTGATGATATTTTCATAAATAGGGATCACAGTTAAGATGAATGTAATGTGCAACACTAACAGTTCAAAGAAATGAGTTTTGGCAGGGTCACTTGTTGAGTATCAAACATTCGGTCTACATCTTTATCTATTGCTTATAGATAGCAACTCGTTCTCACCATGGTAAAAAACAAATCTGGGAAGGATTATGTATGGAAATCTCTCTTATTGCTGCCCGTTCTCTTACTGAAACAGAAGCTACAGAGAAAACAAAAACGAGAAAATACTAAGAGGAAAGCCAGATAGAAGTGGGAGGATCAACTGCAGGATGTTGTTTAGTGGGTTGTGGTCTCTGGTCTTCCTTCCTTGCCTCAGCTCCTGTGTCCTAGGGCAGCTGCCCGCCCATTGAGCCCACCATGAGCCTGACTGATGGACGGAGATGACTGTGTCTTGCGGAGGAGGCATTCCCGGCCAGCCAGGCCACCCTCAATGATCAGGCCACCCATCACGCTGGCCTCAATCTTCTCAAGGTCATCCGTCTCTGCACAGAGTTTGGCCTGCAGGAGGCTGATGTACGTTTCATACCTAGTTTTCTGCTCAGAGAGGAGACAAGGAGAAGGAGGAGAAGTGAGAATATAGACGAGAGACAAGATTTATTACCTGATTTTATATTGTTTAGAATTGAAATGTACAACTATGCTGGCTTGACATTTTTGGACAGAGGTTGTGTGAAATGTATTCCTTAATATCATTGAAGTGTTAATCCAATGATTTACAGTTCAGGACGCCTAAAAAAGAAGCTTTTTATGTTTCCATTTCAATGAAGTGAATTTGGCAAAAGAGAGCGTAAAATAAAATACAATTATGAATGATGATTGCATTGATCTGACATATTGTTTGTGTCCCCATAAAACCCTCCAGACAAATTAGCTGAGGATGTATAAAGCCTTTACCTCGTACGTGAGGTAGTGCTCTTTGAGCCGGAACTCCTCCCACTCACGGCTTTTGGGGTCAGCTGAGGGCGAGCTTTTCCGGTGCTCTTCCAGCTCCAGGCTCATCTGCTTCAGCTTGCTCTCATGACTCAGCAGCTGCTCCCCCTGCACCAATCACAGCAAGGAGAAAAAACCGAGAGATACCCCAAACAGCCAATCAGATACCAGCAGACACAAATAGAAAATGTGTTAAGTACCCAACCCTGCTCAGAGATTTTGAAGAAGGATTTTGCATACTGTTGTATTTTCTTGTAAGAAAAAGCATCAATCATTGCCATAAAGTACTGACAGTATTAATAGATGTTTCATGATTAAAATATGACATATAGTGCAATGGCTGTGCCTGCTCCTGTGGGTATGTGTGTGTGTACCTGTTTGAGTCTGGTGGAGGAGGACGGCAGAATAGGCCGACAGAACTTCTTCATGGAGCCAATAGCAGCAGGAAAGGCCGGAGCAGAGAACAGGGCTGCGACCAGATTTATCCTGAAGATCCAAGACATCATCTCCTCCTCATCACTGGAAGGAAAGCCGGGTAGAGCAAAATGCCAGAGATAGAAGGATGAATCATACATTTTATTTTTCAATTAAAGCTTATTTAACCAGGAAAAATTCATTGGGATTAAACTGTAGCTCTGACTGTTGTTGTCACAGCAGCCCTTTATATGTCAGCCTAAATACCACCTGTGACTGCCAAACTCTGCATAGGAGAGGCTACGCAGCATAATGGGACAAAAATATATATTTCAAATGAAAAACATGAATCACGTTTTTCTTCTAATGTCTACCCTTTTGCAGCATAACTAATAATACGTAGTATAAGCTGATGACTGATGATATTGTGACTTCAGTGACTTACGGAGCCTGCAGTAGGAAGACTCTCCAGTCCGAGGTTTTGAGCTTCAGTACATTGGCTTTCTTGCTGTAGTCCATGGCTCGAGTTGCTAATGCATGGTGGATCCGCACTGCGTTCTTCAGGTCCACCTCTGAAATGTCAGCATCAGGCTTGTACTCATCCTGGGTAACAGAGGTAACAAATAGATTGAATGTGATGTTGAATTCATTCTGTTACATTTAGCAGATAAATGCAAGAGTACAAACTTCCAACAGCAGAGGGAGACAAACACACCGTAGAGCAGCCATGTCTCATTGCTTCCCTTAAAGAGGACATATTATCCCCCTTTCCTCCTTTTCAGACAGTCCCCTGTGGTCTAAATGAAACATCTGTGCTGTGATTTGGTCAAAATATAACATGAATCAAGCACCAGAGGAGGTTTGTGACCCTGTATAAACCAGCTCTCTCAGAACGCTCCGTTTTGGTGTGTGTGTCTCTTTAAATGTAATGATCCCCCCCCCCCCCCCCCCCGAGTTTTCCCGGTAGACATCACTCCTCTGAATTGAGAATAAAAATGGTGGAGCTGGAGGTGGAGTCCATGGGTGGAGATATCAGGGAGGGGAGGGGATTTTTACACCTGAACCCAACTGGTGACATCACAGGTTGAGTCATTAAGAAACACTTCAGACATTTATGATCTTAAAAAGCTTCATCGAATGCTGATCATTAATGACCGTCACATTTGGTAAGTGCTCTTTGATTTTTATTATTTCCTGAAAGCTAAAACTGCATGAATCATGTCCAGTGTTCATCATCAAAGTATCTGTGTTCACGATCAGATAGTAGTAAATAATAATCAAGTCATGGATAAAAATGATCTGTATGCCTCTAAGTGGGACACAGAATAATAAACAGACTGCACATTGTTCTTCATGTGCTGCTGTTTCTTATCAGGTAACATACAGACACAAAGCTCTGTTTCAGTGTGTACTCGATCACAACTGACAGCGGATCCAGCTGTGATCAGCTGATGCCGTCATCACAAACAGACGTTCCTTCATGCGAGACGTCTTGTGTTTCTTAACACATAATTCCTCTTTGGTTCTCTACTTTGCTTCAATTCCTGGTGTCTCCATGCGTCTCTAGTGGGTGGGACTAAGACGCAAAGAAAATACGCAAGTGTGGGATGAATGGTTCTATCTTAAGAGACATGGACGAACCCTCTATCTCACTCCCTCTCCAATAACACTCATACACTCATACACACACAGCAGAGGCGCTAACAGCATCCACACAAAGACAGAAATGGAGGATGTGTTTCTATGGTAACAGAGCAGAGGACGAGATGTGGTACCTTCTGGAGATACAAGATCATCCCCTTTAAAACTGCATAGAACTTCTTCCAACCACGGCGACCCCTCGGGGCTGGAAGAGGGAAGAGTGATGCAAAAACATTGCATGATAAATTATTTGCCGCTACGGTAACTTCAGTAAAACATTTGTGAGTGTGTGTTTGTGCAAATCTGGGTGTGAAACACTCACTGCGTTTGCCGTCCATGTCAGCATGGCTCTTGCGGTTCAGTACGCCGTGTTTGTAGGTGACAGCATTTAATAGAATGGGAATGGCAATGAAAGGGTTACTGCCGTCTGTTACCCTGGCAACACGCTTACTTCCACCCTCACACTGCTCCTCCACCAGCTCTGACAGACTCTTCCTCAGCTCCTCCTCCTCACTGCACACACAAAAAATCCATTCAGATAAAGCTGAGCGGCACATTTTCAAGGGTACCCACATCTGAAAACCTTTTCCTTCTGATGAACACAGACAGGCGTACTCACACGGCCCACTCCAGCTTTTCATTCTTTATTGAGTTATACAGGACCTGTGTGGGAAGGCAAAGACGGGAGAAATTGTAAATATTCCTTTTGATTAGTATTTTTAACTTTATGACTTTATTATCATTACTTTATGATCGGGTGGTTGAATGAAGGATGAAGACATATTTGAATTAAAACCTGTAGATGGGAAAAAAAAAAAAAACAAGCTGACAGAATGGTTGGTGGCTAAACTCTCTCAGGGGGAAATCTGTACCTTTAATAAGTCTTTAGGAAAGTCAGCACCATTGTTGAGGCCGTCTAGATTGCTGATGAACTGCTGACATGACATCTTCTTTCCGATATTCTGAGAGGAAGGAGAGACAGACACAAACAAACGGTGAGTTCAAGTTAAAGGTGAGATTGTTCATCTTTAGCAGAGCTCCGTAACCAACAAAAGTAAACACATTCATCTGCTTCAACTTAAATGCAGTTCTTCAAGAGTCCACATGGTGGCAGTATGATGCTGCAGTTATAAAATAGAAACAAAAAGTATTAGGTTTGTGGCCTTTGAGTCACACTTCTTCCACCTCTGGGGAGATCGAGTTTGGCCTTCTTCACAGCAGCAATCCAACTACACAAACTACTGAGCACATTTTTTTATTCTATCAATCCATCAGTCAATAAATCAATGAATCAATCAGTCACTTAGTCAATGAATCAATCAGTCACTTAGTCAATGAATCAATCAGTCAATATTTATTGTATAGTACATATTCAGTATTTCAACGTTATCTCATGACACACAAAAAGAGTTCTCCTTGGTATAGTATCGATAGAGAACCAAAACGAATCCACCATGAGCACACAACTTCAGCAGATGGCAACATTGACAAGGAAAAACTTCTCATGTTATCAAAAATGTGAATTTTAATTTTGAAATAATTTACATAATTTTCTGATTTACACTTATTTTTAGAGACATGCTTCTCACACACATGCACTAACAGGAGCTGTGGACATGCATTAATGGAGAGATGTCAGAGAGGGGCTGCTACACAGGGAGCGCACCAGAGCAGTTAGGGGTCCGATGCCTTGCTCAAGGGCACCTCTTCAGTGCTCTGGAAGTGCCCTGGCACCTCTCCAGCTACCAGAACAACTTCCCTCCGGTTCCCAACCCAAGTCCCTACAAACTGAGCTACTGCCGCCCATAATCCCTATCTGCTGTTCACTTTCTATATATCATTGGTTGATTTATTGTTACACTAAGTCTGAAATATGTCTTGAATCACAGAAGTTCCTTTTGCAACTTCAAATTAAGATAAGGAATATACATATGACATCATATTTTGTAACATAAACACAGGATCTCAAGGTCCTTTAACATGCCTTTGATCTGAGATCAAGCTTGAACCTTTATTTAAGGATGTTCTATTTTTGCTAAAAGCACATTTTTATTTGAACATCTTGATTGAAACAGATATCAATAAAAGGTTGTTTCTAACCTCTTCTCTTCTGAACAACTCTTTTCAGTGAGAAACAAAGATAAAAAAAAATGATATACCTCTGTCTGTTCATCTTTTACTTTAGCACTATATAACATTGATTAAATACAATGACCTTAATTATATTGCTAGCTGACAAGAATGGGAAATGAGTTTAACAAAGATTTAGTTCCATAATCACACTTACCACCTGCAGGAGCAGAGAGAGACAGGGGGCCATTTTTTGTTAGCAAGGGCAAGATGGAAAGGAGGAATTGGAATTCCAAAAGAGAGAAAAAAGGGATAGGGTTAGAGGAGGTTCATTCCCTAAAAGTACATTTGGCAAGGAGGGTCAAGGAAAAGCAAAGCACAGGAAAGCACAAGACCTATGGCACTGTACGAATAGGTTACGACATGTTGCCCACACCCCTGTGCTCCAGTTTACAAGTGAATAGATGTGACTATTTGAGCAGCAGAGAGAAGAGACAGAATAAGGTCAGGAAGTAGGCCGCAGAGAGGAGAGACAGAGAGCTGAGGACGACAGAGACGGGGGGAAATATAAGACAATGACAGAAAGGAAGATCTGCATGCCTGATTGTCTTTATATTTAGTTATGCAGGACGATTAAGAGACATTTGAAGCCTGCAGAACGAGAGAGAAAGGGTGTTTCAGTACGTACATGTCCGTGTAGATCAGTGTTGAGCAGCATGAGGGCACAGGTCAATGTGTGGGCGCCGTCTGTGAGGGGAAAATACACAAAGCCAAGGTCAGCTAAATGTTTACTCATACAGATAGAATCATCGAGACAGAGATGCGTACTGTAGATACCTGCAGTCTAAATTCATCTCAGCTTGTGCTGTATTTGAATAGATTAGTTACAATGCAGTGTATATGTGATGCAGTCAGTTCTGTTCAGACCTTCAGTGAAATTACGTACTTAAAGTCAGTTAGACAAACAGGTTTTTACTAATGATAGTATACATGAACATATTGTGAAGAACGTGTATTAATGATTCTGTATGAATGTAATAATGATCATCATCACTACCATCGTCATCCTCACATCTCTGACCTTCAGAGGATGCCGTGTGAGGGTTGCAGTGACAGAAGCGTCTGGAGAAATGTACGAGGACTCTCTCTCTCTCCTGGGTCTCTCCCATCAGGGGAAATGCCCTTAAGAAGTTTCTGTCAGGAAGACAAATGTTGACCGGTGAAGCATCACACCACAACTATACCACAATATGTCTGGCAGTGTGTAGAATTGGACGAAGAATAGAGTTATGACACTTTGATGGAAAATGTTATGAACCGTTACATGAAAGCCAAAGCTTCAAGAATCATCTAACAGATTGTTTAAATCCATTCGATCTTGTGTCTGTTTGCCATAGTCAGCTGTTTTCATACTCTTATATAGTACAGATATATGTAGACATTAATGTAGAGCTGAAACAGACAGTCATCATTCAATTAATCTACAGACATGAAATTAAAAAAGATCGTTTTTAAGCAAATGTGTCAAATAAAAGGATGATTCCAACTTCTGATATCTGAGAATTTTCAGCTTTTGTCATTATTATTAAACATTTTATGTGTGTGGATTTGGACATGGTCAGGTTTGATAAATTAAAACAAACAAGAGGAAATAGCCTTGGAGAAATAGATAGATAAAAACTAATCAGCAAAGTATTTAAAAATCAAGCTAATGCTTTGTTAAGCACTGGGCTGATATGTCTACCCCTAATGTGATAAAGTCAAGATCAAGAGAACTGAAGGACAAATAAAGATACCAGATAATTAAGAGGCAACTACAGACACCTTAATGAATCAGATTATGTGTTTATAAAATGTTGACAAGAATATAGTTCAAATCGTTTCCAAATGAATGCAGGACTTTTAGAAGTTAGCATGTCATGTTCAGCAACAGTTGGGCTTTTTGGCTCAGTCGTGCACACACACACATAATAAGGCCTATAGGCTGAACACACGGGGGCTGAAGCAGCACTTTGAGACAAGAACATGTCAGCTACAAGGCCGTGATTTACCTTGAAGCGATCAGCCATGCTGCCTACCTGGACCCAACACGATGAGAACAAAGCTAATGCCTTGTGAAGAGGTAAAGTGAAGGACACATACACTCATGTGTATTGATGACTACATCACATACCCATCACTTCCAAGTGCTGAGTGTACATTACCTCAGGGCTCGATCCAGCGACAGGCCGGAGAAATCAAAAAAGCCAAGGTATTCGGAGGCCACCAACTGGCTGAAGTCGTTACTGCAGAGAGAGAGAGAGAGAGAGAGAGAGAGAGAGAGAGAGAGCGCATCAACAAAGTGAGCTTGTGTTTAATATCTTGTTAATATAGCCACAAGATGATGGTAATAAACTACATACTACAAATAGTAATAAACTACATCTGTATATTTACATGTGTGCAAATAATGAACATGTGGAAGCAGTAAAACACATTTTCATCTTTTTTTCTGTTGTTTGTTAGTGCATCAGTAATTCCTCAGGAGGACTCCCTTATAGCATAACCCAAACCTATAAGCCATATTGCTGACAGAATTAGAGCCTGACCAATTAATCGGCCCATTATAAGCATATCCAATGACTATAAGTATCAGATAATTCTATCACAGATCTGTGGCGATATATCTGGATTTATTTACCAGCCAATAGCATTTCATTGGAGTTTCTTTGAGTTACACTAGCAGTTCCCTTTGACCAGCAGAGGGCGCTATATGGATTACAACGAGTATTATCAATTCCCACAGTGTCAAGCTTGTGATGTTTGTACGCACAGTTACTTTCCAGTTGAGTGACCATCTTGTCTTCATTACATACCTTTTCCACAAGTGTTTGATAACTGAATTTGAGGGATCAATGCAATAAATGTTAATATCTATATCTATCTCTACAGATCGAACATAGATCTAAGAAAGATATCAGCTGATCTTGATATCAGATTTTCTTTCACTCCCCAATATCGATATCGGTATAGGCCCCAAAATCCCATATCAGTCAGGCCAAGACAGAATATAACAAAAACATCTACAAATACAACAGTGGGTAAAAGAGAATAGTAACACCAGGCATTGTTTCCCCAAAGAGAATCCCTTTGAAACATGCCTGCTTGATAGATCGTCCACAACAGGTAGAGACCTTATGTCATCCATATATGGTTTATTAATGACAAATTATCTGGCTACGACACAACATCTGTTAAACGGGAAAAAAACTAGGTTATGTTTACGACGAGGAGGATTGGCAACATCTTTTAGAGCAATCACAGACGCTATTAATCTCGACATATCGCAGCCATGTGCAGATACATGACAAACAAAAAAATGGTACTTTCAGGCAAGAGGAGGAATCCTCCAGTAAGGTCAAAGCTTTTTTTGCCTCTGCTGATGGCCACCTCATGTTAGCTTGTGTGTTCGGGCTGTCACCCTGAGTTGTTTTGCTGTGGGCATGGCATGAAACATGTGGCATGTGTGTGTTAATCTGAGATTGGCACAGATATGGGATATATTTGAGAGGACCGCCCACCGATCATGACTGGACAGGCTGAAATTCAGCCAGTTCCAATCACCTGCCAGTTAATCAGTGTCTCTCTAGTTACGATGTGTTTTTTTTTACTCACTTCTTTCCCAGGTGTCTGGCCACATCACAGCGTTTGAAGCCCTCCAGGTGATAGAGGCGCTTGGCCAGCCTTTTAGCAGCCTCACTGTCGGCTCGGCAGCCATTTGTCAGAGTGTCCGTGCTACCCCGCTCCAAACGCTCCAGACTGCCCAAATCACACTCCTCTGAGTCAGACAGCACGTCTGCAAGGTTGGCATCACTGGAGGAGAGAAAAACACACACAGACACACACACACACACACACACACACACAATCAGGTGTTTAGGTTATAAATAAAACACATGTCCACACACCCTCTCAATATAAACGACACAGAGGAAACTGAAGATTTCAGGATAAACTCCATTATGTGCACAAACAAACAAACGAATATCAAAGGGAGGTTTTAATGACACGTTATCACACTGACCCAGATTCCCTTTCCCCCCTCATGTTCTACTTTCATTCAGTGAATCTAAAAGCTGATTGTGATGGACCTTTCACCTGCTCCAGTCTCTTCATAAAGCTCCTCTTATCTGTCAACTTCTTACATAATATGAAATTAAGTGCTGCAGTAGAAAAGGCCATATCTCAAATGTTCTCTTCTATGCAGCAATGACGACAATACAGTAAAAAATAACCCCCCCCCCTTTTTTTATAGAAGTTAACAAAGGTTTTTTTGTTCTTTTTTGGGGATGCATATGAGGGAGAAAGAATTCTCTCTTCCATGTAGCTTCAATTGCCATGAAGACAAAAAAAAAGGAATCTCAAACTGAACAGCAAATTGTTAATTTCATGGTGATAAGCAGGCTGTCTATCTAGATAAATGTGCATCTGTGTGGCAATGAAGCAGGGCAGCTGAACAAGTAAAGGAAAGTCCTCATTCAGGCCTTCAGGAGCAGTTCAAGTGAGAAGAACCAGTAAGAATTTCTGAACACTTAAAGACACCATTTGAAACAATCGGGAGTTCATTGCCAATAAATGACTTCCAAGTCCTCATGAATAACAGATGTTGTTGAACACAGTGTGTACCCTGTTGGAAGTTAATCAAAAGCTTACCAGTGTAACAGATTAAAATAGTTTAATGTATTTCTAGGATCTGAGGATCTGTATTGAAGTGTTTTAAGTTGAAGGATCTTTATGACTGCTGTTATTCTCAACAATGAAGAACAGCTGTTGTAGTGAATTCTGTGTAGGACATGGTCATTATCTAAAATCAATGTGAATCATCATATGTATCGTATCGTGGCCTCTGTATCGTGATACCATGGGATTGTGGGAAATACCCAACCCTAGTGTAACGTAATATTGTCTCAAACTGCAATGAATTCAAACTGTGTTTAAAAATACTGAATCATCAGCGTCCTCCTTTCAGACTCTTTCAGCTTTTATTGACTTCCACCAGCTGGAAGAAACATGTCAAAGCACTTGCAATGTAAACAGGAAGTGACTTGAAGAATGAAAGCACAGCAGCCATCACTGCAGAGTCTTAATGCAGGGCACTGTTTGATGAGCTGAACAATCAAGCAGAGAGCTCACACTCTATCGCTCTGCTCAATGGTCATCAAGAAAACCGAGAGCATCACTGCAGAGTAGTAATTACTGTCCTCCTGCGTATTCATTTATGACTTCCTACGTAAGTTGATTAGGATATTGAGCTGCTACTAACTTGGACTGTATAACTCACTGTACATCAGTCCTTCATGAAAAAATATTTTGTTGCTTTTGTATCACTTTTTTGTGAAGCAAGCAGATTCTTTCAGCTCTTTTTGATTTACGTTGTCTAAGATTAAAACTAAAAACCATTACATTTAAAACGTTGAAAACAAATTAGAGGACCAGCTGGCCGCAGTAGCTCAGTCTGTAGGGACCTTGGTTGGAAACTGGAGTGTCGCTGGACTTATTTACACATTTTATAAACATTTCTAAGTGTAACAGATTAATTGATTATACAGATAATTACTCACTGCAGTCCTTAGTTCAAATAAAGGCAGACATTTTTTTTTTTACAAAGCACCTGACGAGTCCATTTCTGTAGATCGTCTTCTTGTAAAAAAAACATGAAGTGCAAACTTGAAAACTTGGACCAAATCTGGGAAGTGGTCTTGTAGCCAGAGCACTGCCGAGTTGCCCTTGAGCAAGGCAGAGACCCCCCCCCACACACACACACACACACACCCTCCTCCCACAAGCATCATGGGCAGCCCCCCTCACTCTAATATCTCTCCATTAGTGTCCATAACATCCTGTTTGTTCATGTGTGTGTATTTCAGCCTATGTGTTTGTAGCATGTCTCAATAAGAGAGTGTAATTTAATTTCCCCTAGCGGGATCAATAAAGTATAATCTTAACTGAATTTCATTGATCTGCTTTTTTTCTCAAATGAGCAAAAACTGCTCGTCTATTTCAGCAAATGCTCTAAAGAGACTGCACTTATTCACCCCTATCTATTTCCTGTGTTCAGCGTGCTTCGACATGGCACTGTGTCAGCATTCTGGCCAGTTGATTCAGATGTTTTTTACATAATCAGATCAGCCCAATTGCATTATCCTAACAAATTGAATACATTACGCACGGTTGTTGAGAGGGATATGCTGGTTACTATGGGAGCCAAGTGTTGTGTGCTACAAGGAGGAGGAGGAAAGGGATAGTACTCAACCTCAAGACTGCCTGTCATTAGTTTGTATTGTGTGGCCAAAAGCAGGTATCAGAAGAAAAGACACTGATGAAAAAGACTGACAACTACGCAAAAACAAAGTCAAAGACTTTCCATAACAAGGCGTCAGTCCCATGCCTTCCTCTGCTGAATGGCTGACTACACACTACAACCTTACAGTACAAGTCAATAACAGGCCCTGACTTCCCTGCTCCAGGCGAGGTTACACCCTCTTTGAAGCTGATTCACATCATCATACTTTTTATCTGGCCTCTGACCTTGGACTGATTTTCCTTTTCCTTTAGTATGTATTTCCCCCACGTCACAGTTCGGAGGATCAGTGGGATGCATTAGAACCTCCAACATGACATAGTAGCTTTTTCAAAAATCATTCACCCATATTGTATCTGAGCATCAGCGGCAAAAAATGACAACAAGATTGCAAATGCTGTCAGATAGCAGTTTCATTTTCAGGGAGCCTGGGTGGGGAGTTTGTTTATCCGGAAGAGTAGGACGAGGTAGTTTGTCTGAATCTGATTAAAATGCAGTCACAGGGCTAAATTGTGCGACTCTGCTCTACCACTGCTGTCTGGCTATAATAGGCCCATCACGCACACACAAACACACAGAAAACAATACGACAAAAAGGAATGACATATCGACATACATATTGTTGAGCCAAGATAGTTGGTGTAACTGCTGCACAAGTGGCACACAGTTAACCTATATGTCTATCTTAAAGCACACAGTCACTCACTGTAACCTGGCTCACTCCATGTGTGAGCTCGTCAGAGATGGAGAGCATGATTGTGCTTGCCAGTGACTCAAATGCTAATCTTTTCTGGCTGTGCAACACCCATTACCACACCTACAAGATGTCCTGTGTGTTAGGTGTGTTAGGATGTCTGTCTATGGGGGGGGATTTCTATTCTATTATTTCACAATTTCTATTTAATTTTACACATTGGCTGAAGAAGACCAACATGCAATAGACAAACACAAACGGAACAGCTCCTGTGTGTGTGTGTGTGTGTGTGTGTGTGTGTGTGTGTGTGTGTGTGTGTCCACCAGGCCATCTGCTAGGACTATTAAATAAAATCTTTGCAAAGTAAACTGTTGCAATCTTGGACTCCTGGATAGTAAGCAACAAGGACACCTCAGACACAGATACAAAGATACATCCATCATGTATCCATGTTGCTTTTCCCATAGGATTTACTACCAACCCTATACCTCCACAAGAGTTAGACTTAAAACATACACACCTAACAAACCTGCTTTAAAATCCCTCATTTGTAAAATCATTTTCATATTTAAAGTCATCACTTTGAGCTCTGGACTTGTGAAGGCCACTACACTGACATTCTGTTAACTAAACAATATGTATTTTTATCTTTTTATATTCAAAATAATTAGAAGCAGCCCAATAGCAGCCCTCAGGCTACCTTAATTAAATCCTTGTGTAATTCTCTGCGGAGTGATCAACAGACGAAAAATGCGTTTATAGGCCTAACTTTCTTAATAACCTTTAAGTCACGTTTAATGCAATACAGCGTACCATGAATAAAGCCCTCCTGTAGGCTACGACTGAAGAAGTAGAAAATGACTTTCCGTCAGGGTAAAGAGTTCAACTACCTCAGACTGGCTCACAATTTAATTTGCCACGCAGCATAATGTTTATGTTCCCACCCTTTATCCATTAAGAGTTCTTTTTTTATACAACCATTGAACTCACAGCAGTTGCAGCAAAAGGTCGAAGTGAACATCATATTCCTCTTTCCACATTGTCCCCTCGGGTCTTGGAAAACAGCGGATATAGGCGCGCGACGGTCCGACCGCCTCATCATCCAGTGGTCGGTAAAATCTGCATCGCCCAGCTGCTCTTTTTTAACTCACACGAAGCAACTCAGAAGTCGGAAGTCACACAAAAAAATACAGACAACTGCACGATGCTAAACTCCACTGTAGCATTATTTCACGGTGGTGTCATCAAGCAAGGAGTGGGATTTGGCTTTTTCCTTGAACTTCCCTGACTGTCCAAAACGCTCCTCAGAGGAGGAAAAGTCAAGGGGGGCGGAGCTAACGTTTGACGACCTATGCTGTTCCTAGTGGTGGTTTTACAGTGACCATGTGTGTCCCAGGCAAACACTGCTTCATTTTAAGAAAGACTCCGAGGCAACAGATTCTGTATTAGTGTGGAGCTGTACTAAAGTCACTATACTGCTTTCTAGCATAAAGCTATTCTAAGTTTTTATATCCATGTATTTCTCAATAGGTTATTGTTTCAATTTGACTCAACTTGGATAAGGTCACTTTATCCTAATAATTATGGAGTAAACTAAGTGTTGAGCTCTATTGTTAAAATGAGGAAGTGGATCTAAGCTTTATGGTGAATAATAGCCTATATAAAGAGTCAATGTAACACAAGCCTACATGTCTCTGTTTTTTTATGTATTCTACCGCTGCATAAATGTTATGAATGGAGCCTATACTTATATAAGGATACATAGAAATAAAGAGAAGTATCACCCACAATGTGATGAATAGTTTCAGCACTACACAAAGAAACACAGATTTTTCAGGAAACAGTGACACATGGGTGCATGTGAACTTCACAATCTAATTCCTTCCCTCTTTCCTCCTTCTAATCCAGTAGAAAGAAGAATAAAAAAGCAAGGAGGTCCAGCTACAGAGTCTAGAATAATAAAAGACTGATAGAGGAAAAGGAAAAGCAGATTGGGTCAGAGTCTGAGAGAAAAAGAAAAAATAAGCTGAAAATATTTTATGATTTCACCTTTTCTTTGAAAAGTAACTTGGACAACATTAAAGGCAGCATGTAAGACATTTGACACATAAATACAGCAGAAATCAAGTATATACTGTGTAAACGTCTCTCTGGGGGGTTGGAGGTGTGCCACTGTGACAGAGGTGTCACAAACAGCGGTTTGTTTTGGTTTAATGCTGGTGCTCAAGGGGGACATTTACTGGATTAAAAAGTTGCACATCCTTCCTTTAATGATGGTGTCTGGTCTTCCTAGAAGTCTAACCTATAAGCCAGTATTCTGTATGTAAAAGCTCCTCTACAAAAAGGCACCAGATGGACAAAATGAATGGTAAGACACTGAAGGCTCTAGACCTTTTGAACAGTCTTGGCTGAAAAGCCTCTCCAATGTTGTGTGGAGGTTAGGGACAGTGCTAACAAAATGGTTGAATACTGTTGAAGTTGATACTGGTCCAAATTTTGTTCATCTTGTTCCTCCTGCTGTAGTCGCTGCAGACACTGGCACTCTAAATTAGCATTGTTGTCCTCTAGGACCTGGCGCGTTAGTTCCTTGAGCTCTAGGCGGAGGATACTCTCCTGAACGATGGCTTCCTGGAATGCGTGCCGACAGAGCATGTTGGGGGTATTCACCCACCGATGAACAAACAAAGCCAAACCTGGAAGCGGACCTGGATAGTGACCACTGTTAGGAACTACTACTCTCAGACCAGATGTAGATCATCCAAAGTCAACTTAAATACTCGCAGAAGTTAATTTAGCGTTAAAATATCATTACAATAAATATCTAAACTTCTCTGTTAATTCTCTGAAAGTGCTGCACCTTCTGAACATGCATACTTTTTGTAATACAGTACATACACACATACTGTACATACTCTGCTCACACATACATACATTAATTCACACATATACACATACTTGTGTCACACATCTATACATACTCAGCTCACATGTAAACACATTCCTAACTCACAAATGCATACTTAACTCACACATTACAGTGCATAGTGCATACATACTAATGTATGCAAGAGTATGTAGTATATTATGTAGTATATATATATGTGTATGTATGTATGAGAGTTTATATGCACTAGTATTTAGGTGGAGTATGTATGAATGTGTGAGCAGAGTATTCCTATATTACCTATACTGCTTCCCATAGTTCCTTGTCAAAGCGTCTTTGAGAATCCAGAAAGGCGCTATATAAAACCAATTTATTATTATTATTATTAGTGTGCATGTGCAGATAACAAACACCTAAGAGTAAATCTAACTACATTAAGCCCTCTATATCATGCCAAGGATAGTGATCTGCATTAAAAGAATGCAAATCACATAGCAGACTCAGAGCCAGTAAAGAATAATCTGGATATGTTTCAGCGGCGATAAAGAACCACGTGTCTGTGTGTAATTGAGAACAGAAAGGAGAAACGACTCAGTGTGTGTGCAAGAGAAATATGAGCATCTCCATATCTGTGTCACTGAGCGAGCATTAGGATAAATGAGCGTCATGCACATCTTTGTTTATGCACACATGCTGGTGGCCAGTGTGCTGTTAACGTGTGTACCTCTCTGCACTGCGTGTACTTCAAGTGTATATGAAAAAGATTAGTGCACGCCGCAGAGCTGCTTCTCTGATATCGACACAACTGCGCCTGGCTTTGATGTTCTCTGCTTGGGCTTAGATCTGGTAGGTACTCTATGTAAAGGGAAGGAACACACACTCGGCAAGTTTCCCACGCAGCTACCATACATTCAAATGTGCAGTAGATACGCATGTGTACAAAAGAGAAATACATGCACATGTGAAGATAAATTAATACAACACTTCCCTTGACCTTACTTTCAATATTAACTTGCTCTGATTGGATTTAGAGCATAATTTTGCTGTGAGTCCGTCTTCTTTCCCCTTAGCATGTTGTTTGTTTGTTTGTTTTCACCATAGGTCATATTGTCACGTAAGCAGCATAACTAGTTGACACGTCTGTGGTAGTTCTAGATGGTTATGTACAGTAGCTAGCTGCTAAACAGACAGAGATTGTCCCCTGGGGGATTTTGGATGAATAGATTATTGTTAAGCTTTAACCTAACCGAGGCCTGCAGGGCACAGAGGGACACAACTGTAAAAGTAACACATAGACTACCTAACCAAAAATACAAACATGATTAAATTAATAGTTTTCAGCCATGAAACTGTAGCGGACGGCTCAGTGGTAAAAAGAGCTAGGAAAGTGGCAGCCACTATTGGACACTCTGTGGAGCTGCAGCTTGGTTTGTTAATTTTCCATCTCATCAAACCAACGCATTAACATCACCTGACCATCGCAGAATAACTGAGATATTAAGATATACTTTAAGTATACTGTAAGGCACTTGAAACCCTTACAGTATACAACACTTTTGCAATCACTAAAAACAGTAAGGCATTTGTCAAAATTTCGCTTCGGTGTTGTTTACATATATCTACCAGAGTGTCCTTCCCCATACACTGCAGCCAGGATAAAAGCCTAGACAAGTACAGACATCTAAATGTGTTTCTGCGTGGCTGGGCCTATAATGTCAATCCATCAGGATCTCATAAGCATCTGTTCTCAATTTCTTGGGTAGGGAACTCATTAGATCTCAATCTCGTAAAGTGATTAGCGGTCCAATTTAAATTTTCTTAAATGCGGTAAATGTTATGTGCTTCTGTTGTAATCCAACCTACATATAGTCTATGTATAAACAAACTTGCTTTGTGTCCGTGTTCAAAGCTGCACATCTTGCAAGCAAAACATTGGCTCATTAGCGTTACCAATATGGGTATAATAGCATGCTGATGTAAGCATATAACTCAAAGCCCCTCTATGCTCGTGCACTCTTGAGAGAAAAATAACAAGAAGGGTATTTTAACTATTAGCATTTAATAACCTTGTTATTCAAGCTACAATTTAATTCAAATAGGCTGAAAAGCATTTCTATTAAAATAATGCACACTCCTTCAGGAGATTACAACCAGAAAAATATGTGCTTCAACTTGAATTTGTTTTGGAAATGGCATTTACCACCCTATAATTTGCACAGTTTCTCCCTTTAAATATCTTAAAATCACCAGAGGAATGGACTGCTGAGTGTATTTTAAAGTATCCCTTTACAGCTGATAGCAGATGTATAGTAAACATACACACAAACACACACACACACACACACACACACACACACACACACACACACACACACACACACACACACACACACACACACACACACACACACACACACACACACACACGCACACACGTAATCCAAGACCCTGCTGGCTAGAGGAGAGCTGAAGACGATGATGTCATGACCTGAACAATAGCTCATTCAGCTTGGCACTGGCAGTCAGGAAGCAAGACTGTGCTTTAAGGACAACATCTGAAGACGAGGGGAGGAGTAAGAGAAGGGTAAGAGAGTCTTAAATCACTGACAGCCAGATAATCATGTTTTAGTTCCTTACATCTATTTGGCGTTCTAGCAGGTAGGGCTCCATCTAGAGCTTTTGCTGTAGTTTATGTTACATGGCTTTTCCCATGTGGTTCCTGTTACCAAATCCCTCCTGAGGGGTTCCACATGTTCTTCCTGTATCTTTGTTATTGCTGATAAGGTAGTAAAAGACAGTCTTGTCAGTTGTTTCTGTATTCCCCCGGTTCCTTGGACTCTATGCATATCATGGACAGGAAGCATATATAACAGCTTCCTATCTTAGGTCTAGTAAAAACAGACTAAGTGTTTGTTGGTTGAGTGAAAAAGGGTCTCTGAAGAGGCCAACACAAAGAGATATCCAAGGCAAAGCTTTCATTAGTTCATGGCTACAATTTTAAAATGTGTGGCAGACCAAAGCCTTTCAGCTCAACAAAGAGCTAATGATGATATCAGAATATTTTCTATAATTGTATTGTAGTTACCCTGTAGTAAGCCCCTGTAGGATTAAAAATTCAGACTTTTGCAGCTTCTATTGGTCATTTGAAAAAAAGACTTCAATTCAGTAACATCTTAACATGTAAGAAATGGTCTTCTTACCTGACAGAGTTGATCATGGCTCCACAGCCTTCAATGGCTCCCTGGGAGTCTGTATGATATCCATTATGAATGGCCCAGCGCCCGGGCTGGCTCAACACAAACTCGGACCTGCTCCCTGGTATGGTGGTTCTCAGCGGGCTTCCTCCTACTCCAGCTCCAAGAGCAATACTCTCTCCAGCTGTGAGTTCACTACCTGGGGACTCTGGTCCAGCCTCACACCCTTCTTGCTCCTGAACAGTTTCCAGCTCCAGCTCAAGTGGTTCAGGTCCCTGAAACAGCGCCCTCTGCTGGATAAGAGGTGTTAGTGGCGCCTCAAAACTGACACAGCTGTCTGTCTCATCCGTGAGTGACAGAACATCCAAGGAGTCCAGGCTGCTGTAGCAGGTCCCGCCCCTCAGCAGAGCAGACTCTACAATGCGTTCAAAAGTGGAGCTAAAGCCATCTTTGTTGTCCACCCTACCTTTTTCCCTCTCCTCCTCCTCCTCCAACTCCTGATCCTCTTCATCCTCCTGAACATCAACTTGCTCAACAATCTGTTCAAACACAGAGCTGAAGCTGTCCTGATTTTCTGTTACTTCTCCCTCTTTATTTACATCTTCCTCTTCTTCCACTTCTGTGTCCGCCTGTTCCACCGTTGTCTCAAAGTTTGAGCTGAAAGCGTCCAAGTGTGTATGAGTCCCCCTCTCGTCTCCTCCTTCGTCCTCCTCACCTGCTTCATCATCCTTCTCATTTCCACCTATGCCATTTGCTAGTCTGTTAACATGGAGAGAGAAAAGTGTGAAATTATCTCCACCACATAGCTCAAACATATGAATTGCAAAGCACATGACTCATATTCATTGTTGATACAATTATTTATTCTGAGAAAGAACACAGAATTGTAGAACAGATCAGCCAAAATTTCATTTGCCAAACCTTCATGATTTTGAATATTTTGTTCATAAGAATATGAATCTATTAATTTGCTCTGCTTTCTGTACTGATGTAAATTAAAAAACACACAAGCGATAAAACACAAACACATAGCAATTAGAAAGATCTTAAATATCACATATTTCAATTTATCCAAATATCTTCAGAGTACACCATTTGATAACAAACATATTTCTTCTGGCACATTTTTAACTTGACTTTTTACATTTGAATATCAATTGGTTTAGTCATTCATTTTGCTATTTGAAAGTTAGACCATTAATTATTAATTTAAGCCTTTTACTATTAATTTGTGGAATGCTAATTTGGCAAATTATATACAGAGAAAACACTTTTAACATTTTAAAAAAAATCCAGTGGGGAAAATGTCACTCTGTTTTAATAAGACCAGAAAACATGGACACAGTCTTCCAAACCACAAGGACAACCTCACACACTAAGGCCGAAGGAAGTTGTGTGTATTGTAAATCAGTCTGCTTATCAAGAGCAAAGTTATGAAAAACCATTGATTAACCTGATATAATATCTTGAATATATGGATATTTGATGAAAGTATGGAGGTTGACTTTTTGCTGGATCTGACTGGACACTGGTAGTTCTAACTTTCAGCACACATTCAAGTTCAAGTTCAAGTTAAATGAAAGCAACAAATGACATGTGTCAGTAAAAATAAGTTGATGAACAAACCTTCCAGCCTGTTTGGGGGGATTTGCCTCCTCAGTAGATAGTAGCATTTCTTCATCTTTCTTCCCCTCCTCTTCTTCTTTCATCCTCTCCTCTTCATGTCCAACCTCCTCCCCGGGTGAGCTTACCTCCATAACCTCCACACATCCTTTCCCTCCCATCCCCTCCTCCTCTCCCTCCAACCCTCCCTCTGTCTGTGGATCCTCATCCCCACTGTTATCTAACCTTGCTTCTTCCAACTCACCTTCCCCTTCCTCATCCTTCACCTTCCCCTCTCCCTCCCCAGTTGTCTCCCGCTGTGCCTCCTCCTCTCCTTCTCTGGTCTCTACTTGTTGTTTTCCTTCCTCTACCTCGTTCACTGCCCCGGCCCCCTGCTTCTCCTGCTCTGCCTTGTTCTGTGTTTCTGCTAAAGTGTCAGTAAAGGTGGCTGAATCTGCGTTCACTGGGTTTTCTGGTGGAGTGGGAGACGGCAGAGCCTGCCCCTCCTGGGTCATGATGCTCCTCACTTGGGGTGAGGTTGCTTTAGATCAGCAACCAGGAGAAACCTCTGCAGAGAAAAAGAAACAGTGATGTTTGAATTGATGATTGTGTTGCATTCTTGTGTTAAATAAAGTTGTATTTGTAAATACAAAAGATTGAGATCAAATCTGGTGACCTGTGTGAAAAACAAAACACACCTAGTATTGAACCACAGACCAGTTATGTATTTCCTTCTTCACAACTTAAATTTAAGTTTTTTATTATTACAGTGGATTTTGATACGATGCTAGTGGAGCTTAAGAGCTGCTACAAATAAATTCAGCTCCTTTTTCTTCACAGAGTCCTGCTCTGGTGGAGCAGAGGGAAGCCAAGAAGAAGAAGGCTGTCACCTAATATGAGTCCTCAGCAACATTAGATCAGAGCTCTGCTGAATCATCTGCAGCAAGAGGCTTACATCACAGCTGCAGTGACATATTTACTGGCATTCAAGACTTTCTGATGACACTGGCATGCAAGTGATTTGCATAAGAAGCTCATATAAAAACAAAGTGATTTATCCATGGGTTATTTCAGCGTATCTTGAAGTAAAGTAGAAATGAACAGGATCATGATCGAGAGGACAGATTTGTGGCAGGTGCGGATGTAGGCTAATTTTAAATTCATAATGTTGCAAGTGCTTTAGCTTAGCCCTTAGAGGAATAATATGTAACTCTGACACCAAGCGTTATATAATGGGTACTGCAGGCCAAATTCAAAACACTGGAGAGCTTTTTCCCCCCACCCCCTCTTCCCTAGAGTTGATGTCTTGCGCACACTGAAGCTTCTGTGTTTAATCATCTCCGCATCAGTCTGCGTTCTAACCTCTCTCCAATTTCAGAAGCAGCTCCAATATTTATCCTAGTTTTACCACGTTTCTGCTCGTGAAGCTATTAGAAAACGCAGAGACTATTTAGGTCAGTTCACTTGCCCGCTTCCATCGCTGCAACACCTGGTGGTTTGACGTTTGCCTTGCTAACTGAGGGGTGAGGGGCAAAACTGCATCTTCTCTGGTCCAAACAAATACAGACCATTCAGAACCAGAGGACATACTGGCTGCTGCATTGTAGACAGAGAAGCCAGCACTTCAACATAACCTGTTTCCTTAATGTCTGACAATATAGTGAGATCATTTTATATTTTAACTATGTAAATAGCTCTTACATATTGAACCTTTAAGCATGAGGACACCACAGGCTAAACTAAATGTTTCATCAGAACCAGAAAAAGATTATGTGAATTATGCAGACCCAAGAATTTCAGGAAGATTAATCTCCCTTATGTCAAGCCTGTCTCTGAATCACTCCTTAACTTTACCCTTTTTCTTATGACTTCATGTTTTCAAGCAAATGCAGCTATATAAGTCATGGAAGGTTGTCATTTTATCTCTGTGGCAAATGCCATCATTGGAGCACTAAAAGCCAGCAAAAAGCCTAAAATCCTGGCTTAACACTGCCAACCTGCCAAGCTCAGTGTGACAGGGGCACTGGCCCCTGTTGGCCCCTGCCTAGACCCGCCCATGCAAAGGAGTGCGGGTCTACTCCGAGCTTCCCCTGGATATCTGAGCTCCTCACACTGTTTCTAAGGCTGAGACTATAGCCTACCGTTGGAGGAAATACATTTCAGCAGTTTGTATCTGTGGTCTTATTCTTTCTCACTTCACATAGCTCATGACCATAGGTGAGGGTTGGAACAAAGATCAACCGGTAAATCAAGAACTTTGCTTTCAGGCTCAGCACCCTACTCACCACAGCGGTTCAGTACAATGTCTGCATTACTGACAATGCTGAGCCATCCGTCTGTCAATCTCACGGTCCATCCTACCCTCACTTGTGAACAAGACCCTGGGATACTTTTGGTAAGGACTCACTCCTGACCCAGAGGGAGCAATAAACTGATTTACCATTAGAGAATCATGGCCTCGGACTTGGAGGTGCTGACCCTCATGCCAATCGCTTCGCACTCACCTGCAAACCTCCCAATGCCTGCTGGGGTTCCCAGCATGAGGAAGCAAACAAAATCAGATCATCTGCAAAAAGCAGACATGAGATTTTGAGGCCCCCAAACTTGAATCCCTCTTCCCCTGTGCCCTGAGATCCTCCATTAAAACCTCAAACACAATCAGTGACAAGGGGCAACCCTGGTGAAGGCCAACACGTACCAGGAACGTGTCTGACTTTGTGTCGAGTATGTGGACACAGTTCCCACTTTGGTCATACATGGACTGGATTTCTCATAGCAACGGCCTCGGGACCCCCGAGCAGAGGTGCTGCTTGTCAACAGGCAAGGCAGGCAACTGCTTAGGGCCCCAGACCAGTAGGGGGCCCCAGAGGGCTGACAAAATCTAAACAAAAAAAAAATTGCAAATTTTGCAATGACAGCATTCACTCTCATTACCTTGTTCCCCCTGTATCCGAGGTTCTATCACTGCCTAATGTGGATCTTATGGGATTTATTAACTGCATTCCAAGAAAGCTACATCCAAAAACCTGAAAAAATGATCTGATTTACATTTAATGAGCATTTGGTTTTTACCTTCTTTATCAATCAACAATTACATTGAGCTGAAATTATCCTAAATTTAGTAGACAAAATATCTGAAACACATTACACTCTAAGCCTATTTTAGTCCATATCCACACTTAAATCCATTCATGCATTTAAACATGTTTGCAAATGCACACAATGACACGTAGTCAGTCTCTCACAAACAGACACACACACACTCATACAAAAAAACAGAAACGGGACACATCTGCATAAGTGGAAACAGGGAACAGTTATGAAAGCAGACATGGATAATGGGAATTCTCTTTTTCTCTCACTGTGTCTCTAGTGTCCTGTTTCCTCCCACTCTTTCCTCTTCATCTGTTCCACATCATGTTTTCTGCTATCTCATAGTCTAGCTCTGCTCTCACTTTTCTCTGTCTCAGCCACTTATTTTGCAGTAATTAATGAAAATGGGTCTTAGCCAGCAGAAAAAAAAGCTGTGGAAATGAGCAACACTGTGAGTGCTGCTGATGCAGAGAGAGAGAGCAGATCTGCTTTGACACCCGACCATGAAAACAGCCAATGAAAGAGACTGGAGTGTGTGTGTGTGTGTGTGTGTGTGTGTGTGTGTGTGTGTGTGTGTGTGTGTCTCAGTATGTTGTCTCCTTGTAAAACTGTCAGAAGAGACTTGTTGCATTCCACTTTTGTCAGCAGAACACTGCAGCTCTTAAGCCTTATCAATTTCCTTTAACTGTGATCTGACCGTCTGCCAATCACGTGAACAACACACCAACACAAATCTAAAAACATCCATCCCATCCGACCATAAAGCACCAATCCATTGAGGAGGACTTCAAATAAAAGTCTAAGATACCATCATATAGCTTCTTTTGTCTCTTGTGTCTTTTATTTCTCTCTCTATCTCTCCCTGTCTTTCTGTCTCACTCAAAAACTGTAGAACACTCTCTGATTCACAAAAAAAGCAAACACCACAATGAACACACAGAGAAACACGTGGGTGTAATTTATTGATCACTGTGCACAGAGCCGAGGTCCACCGGGAGTCTCCAGTGATAAGCACGATTGATCTCACATATAGGCAGAAAAATACCAAGGAAACACTATAGTGAGATAATAAGACATGGAGGCTTTAAAAATAGAAAAATGGCTCCCAAGAAAGAGCTAGTCCAATTTCAAAAGGGAAGCACACAAAGCTTCTTCACTGCATCTACTTTCAAATTGTCTGTAATGTGCTTCCATGAAGGTGGAGGACCAATAGTAGATAGATTTGAAAAGAATGGTCAATATCAAAGCTGCACAGGGCAATCCTTATATATCGTCCCTGGTGAGAGCTACTAATTACCCGTAATAAAAACAATACTGTATCAATTATTCAGACTACTATTACAAGCAGCCATGTTAGATATTGTAAACAAACACCATCCAAAGCAGCTTTAGACCCTCCCAGTGAATGCCCATGCCATTGAAACTCCATATCTCTAGTTCACAGACACAGACTCACTTTTAGATTCTGTAATGGCAAAATACTAACTAAGGTTATTTCTTGGCTTGACTGAGTTACACCAGAGTCAGAAGACATAATGTGACAGTTCTCAAAGGTGATGAACTAAGCTTCTTCAAAGTCTAAGCTTCTTCAAAGTCAAACACCACATAAATAATGTGAATATTTGAATCACGTTGTGCCTTTAGTCATGCAAAGTTAACACCTTCCCATAGTTTGTTTGCACTTTCGCATTTGCTTTTTTTTTTTTTTTTAACACCAGAGGTTGGTGCTTGGTAAAACATGATGCTGTGCAGGAGATTCACCCTCTGAGTTAAATGACACAAAAGGATGTCCTCAGAAGGCTTAAACAATCAGCAGATATTTCACCAGATAGGCATCTATATCGGATGTGGGAAAAGTTTGAGTTTGAAAAGTTTTAATTGAAGAGTCGCTCACTCTGTGGCTCACTTTATAGAGTCGATCGTCTGTCAACCTGAAGGTCGGGGATTTAATCCCCAGCTCCTCTAGCTCCTGCAGGGCCGGTGCTAGGAGATATGTCCGAGGTGTCCTTGGGCAAGACACCAAGTTGTTCCTGCAACAATTTGATGACTTACAATATTGCAGAGTATTGCAATATGAAACAAGCAAATTAAAGATATCTATGTATCTGTCTGTCTGTCTGTCTTTAACCACTAATCTGCTGCAGACAGTTGTGTTGTGCCTCACTGTCAGCCTCTTTAGTTGAAGTGGTGGATCACAGCAGCCAATTAACACCTCTGAGTATTTATAATTTAGAGTTAATTAGCAGTCAAAATGATTCATGAAAATTAAAGCTGATAGTGAATAGATAATGATATCAAAGTACTGAAGACAAGAAAATGACACCGCTTCTCCTCCCTCCTCCCTTCTCCTCTGTCTATCATAGCGACATGCATAGAAAAAAGCACCACAGTCTTATTAATGACCTACTGACCCTGTGCAGACTGGGCTCTGCACCATCACTGCAGCCCACACACACACACATACACCAACACAGAACAGAGATAGAGTCCACTTTCAAATATGACACAGATTGAGACAGAGGAGGAAAACATGTAGCCTGGTTGTAAGCCTGCGTACAGGAAAACAGGAAAATGAGGAGTTGGAAGGGGTCCACACTAGCATGACAACAGGGCCTCCAACCATAAAAAGCCTACTGGAGCATAACAATCATCCAGCTTCCCCAAATCACCCAAATATGTCACTTCTATGCCGACAAGCATTCTGTCACTCTGAACGCTTCATCTTAATACATGGATGCTCCAAGTAATGTGGTGCTTTATATTGTCTGGGCAAAGTCACTGGGCAGTTTGTCAGGTTAATATACTCCTTACTTCCCAAGCACAGGCACACACAACGTCACAATTCTGGCATTTGAATGTATGGTTGAATTAACGCATATGTTGAGGATGCCGTCCCAATATAGTGTCTTAAAGTGTTGTAATTGAACTCCTCATTGGGCTTTGCATTTAAATGTAGGCTGCATAGGATCCCATGCTCTCCAGAATGTGGGTTTGCAACGTGACTGGTTCTCTCTTGATTCTCCTAATAGGCCTACACCTAAAAAGACAAAAACAAACACCAGCCTTATTGTTCCCCTCTCCTCTCTCTCTCTCTCTCTCTCTCTCTCTCTCTCTCTCTCCTCCAGAGACAGCCATGTTCTGATTAATTTAACATCAATCGATGCACCTATGCTTTCATACTCTTGTGTATATTCTGCTGTGAAGTCTTCTGATCAAAATCAAAGACCCTCATGATGTGTGCCTCTGTTGTATTTGAACTGGCAATACATCCTGCTCCTGTGTGTGTGTGTGTGTGTGTGTGTGTGTGTGTGTGTGTGTGTGTGTGTGTGTGTGTGTGTGTGTGTGTGTGTGTGTGTGTCTGTGTGTCTGTGCAAAAGAGACAGCCATGTTCTCACAGCCTCTTCGAGCCAGTAACCATGACAACAGGATGGCTGAGAGACACAGCTCAAGCTCAATTGAGGCCGGTGTCTTTCTTTTCCTCCAAAATAGACCTTGGTAGCATTTCAAGATCGACTTGTCCTCTTAGAGGCAAAAAAAAAAGAAGAAGAGGAAACGCTTTTCTCATTCACTCCTCGTCCGCGGGAGGGAGAGAGAGACAAAAACACACATGCCTCCGTAAAATCCCACGGCCCGCACGGTGCTTTTTCTTTCAGCCTTTATTAGCTCAACAAACGCCGCTGTCTTAATGCCTGCCGGTGCGGATGTGTACATTTCAACACACAGAAATAGGACACAGGACGTGAAACCTGAACGAAGCCTCCTTGATAAATAGCCTACTTCTGCTAGCTTCGTTAACACATTGAAATAATGATAGCCTGTCCAAGCATGGATTCTATAATTGCCGGCTAAATATTTGTTGGCACTAACACAGCCCTACAAGCTGAAACATAAAACCAGTTTTAACCTTAACCAGTAGAATAATGTGTCGACTCACCAGTAAAATGTGTTCAGTTGGAGGCTGGAAATAGGGAGTTGTATCGGCGGCGTGCTCTCCCACTGTCTCACATCTACACCGGGGAATAACACTAACAGACGGGCTCTTCTGTCCTTCCCAGCTGCCCCCCCCCACCCCCACCCCCCTCTCTCCCTCTCTCTCTCTCTCCTCCGCGCAGGCTGGAAGGGCAGGCGCGGGAGGTCCAGGTAGCTGTCCTCGGTTACTGTGTGAACTGATGAATGGATGGATGTGCAGAGGCGTCCTCCCGGTCTCATCCTCTCTCTGTTTGAATGGCAGCGGAGAAATCCTAATTCCGCTCCTCGGACTGCTCGGGTGCACCACCACCTCTCCTGTGGTTAGCGCTGTTTGGACGGGACATGTTGATATCAGACACTGTAGCCTGCACTGACAGTTGTGTTGACACAAACCTCTCTGTTGTGATATAACCGCCAGACGTAGACTAGTGAAATATTATTTAAATCTGTTGGACTCCGACTTCACATGGTTGTTCCTGAAGTCCAGAGCTATACCCTGAGGTCTTTTCCAGAGTTTCAGGACGTACTCAGAACAGAAGGATGGCTTTATCAGACATTTGACATTTCACAATATAGGACCTATCTACTTTGCCTAATTTGCTTTGGGATGCTGTTTGTGGGAACTGATATCAAATCGACCCCAAAACAAAGAAGAAACAATTCCTGCAGATGATTTACAGACTGTCAAATAGTGCAGTCCAAGGTCTAAAGTCCTGCAGCTGTCATATCCTGGATGTAGCATTGGTCATGCTCTGGTTTGGTTTAACTAGGAATGTTTGTCAGCAAGGGAATCTTCATCTATGAAGCAGTTATATCCTGTTTTTACTAGATGTTACTGTACATGCTCAAAGTGATTAAAGACTAAACTAGTCTATAGCCTACCTAAAGTTAAGAAAGGCTCGTATTACATCATGTTGTGAAGCAATGTACTGCCAAACAAATCTTAAACTCAGGGTGCATATAGAGCCATTTATGTTTCAGATATTAGCCTATGTATTATTTTTTGTATAGGCCTACTATATTTATATGGCCCTCATTTTGTAGGCCTACATGCAGGTCGCTGGAATAAGATGTGGTGTTCCAACAATACTGTCTTGACATAGAAAGTTATTGATGAATTGATTAAAGATCTTTGTGAGCTCGACCTTTTCTCCTTCCTTTGTGGCTGGGCTAAACTGTAATCACAGCTTATCCAAAAGAGAACCACACGTTATCAAACCACTGTAAAGAAGACAAATGGTAGTGTGGACTGGAGACCAATGAATAACTTATAGCTTTGGCTTAGATTTCTGAGAAACTTTCATTATTATTAGAATATATACTTTTAAGTGTAACAGATATTTGTCTGTTTTAACTTATTTTCAAGCTGAGGAATGTTGGATCTGATTTGTGCTCAAGAGTGTTTCAAACAAGGCAGGCTTTCAAAGATTTGTGAATGTGCTGTCAGAAAAAAAAAAAAAATCAGTTTGCTCAATATCTCTTGTGATTAAATTGTTTTTTTTTTACATGGCAGGGCTATCAACCAAATTTTCAAATTCTTGGCCTGATTGACCAATAAGAAGTCATTTTATCTGCCAGAGTCAAATATAAACTAGACCATGTATCGTCTGTCCTTCACAAAGCATAGAGGACATTTTTCTTACTCTACCAGCTTATGCCCACAACTCATTTCCCGTCCGTTCCACTTGTTCTTTCACTTCACTCCTCTGACATGTAAAACCACATGTATAGTGTTTTAACCATACAGTGAGTGCAGTGTTTTGATAATGTCAAAGACATTTTGATAATGTCTTACTGGTTTCCCTCAAGGTCATAAACAGAAGCACAGCAAACAATGACACATACGGCTCTCCTTTGTCTGCTGCAAAAGTGTTACAGTGTTTTTTAAGGGTACTTGAACACATCCTGAGCACCAAGTGTTTATGTAATGTCTGCATTGACTTAGAACCTAAACCTCCCAACCAGTGATCTGCAATGATCAATATCACACAAGGAGACAAAAGGAGGGGGGGGGAGGAGGCTGAAGAATAATCTATAAAAGAAGAAGAGAGAAAAAGGGAATTAAGAAAAGAGAAATGGATAAAGCAGGAGCTGGGATGTGGACAGAACAAAAGAACGTGGTGTGTGTTTGAAGACAAGGCGAGGAGAAGGTTACAGAGGCAAGGCATAAAGTGAGACAGGTGGAGGGGAGGGGGGTAAAGCCCTGAGAGGAGAGAGGCGGGGGGCAACAGAAGGTTGAAGATGACAAAGAGTTTAAAGGATGCACAGATGACCGGAGAGAGGGTATATGGTGAAAATAGTTTAAGGGAAACCCACTGCAGACGCAATGTCAATCCTAATTACTAAATTATTAACCTGCCTGGCTCCCCTCCCCCCCTGAGGCCACACGGACACATATGCACACACACACACACACACACACACATGCACTCACTTCTTCATGTTCTCTCCCTCTACTGTGTCCCATGAGAGGCGGAGGATGGATGGAGAAATGAAGAGGTGTGTCTGCAGCTAAGTGACATCTGCAGGGCTGTGATGGTAAGCAATGGGTTGGGAACACTGAAAATCCCTGGTGTGGCAATGAGAGGGAGGCAGGAAGGGGAGGGACGAGGGAGGTCATTTGTGTAGAGAAAAGCTGACAGCTTGCGTTTTGCTTTGCTGGACTGGGTGGTATCCCGTTATGGTGCACATTAATGTGCTCAGCCATGGTGTCAAAGTATTATTTAGAATGTGGGCCTCCATGCACGCATTAACCTGTGTGTGTGTGTGTGTGTGTGTGTGTGTGTGTGTGTGTGTGTGTGTGTGTGTGTGTGTGTTCAAATGTACAATCACAAGGTGTCCTGTGATTACATTTGTGTGACTGTGAGTGTGCATAATGAAGCAGGTATTGATAAATCAGTATGATGGAGTGAAATGGTACATAAACTGAATTTGGCACTTTTCTTATCTTCTACTCACTCAAAGCACTTTCGCACTAAACGTCACATTCACACAATGATGGCAGAGGATGCTGGGTCAAGCTGCCATCAGTATAAACCAAAACCATTCATACCCATTCACACGATGCTGGCTATGCCATTTGGAGCAATTCGGGGTTCAGTCTGCACGTCTAGTGTCAGCTAACCGCTACTCTTACGCTTAAAACACGGTCAACACACAAACACAGTCGCCTGAAAGCACAAGAGAGAGTGCTGCTGGCCACACTGATGACTCTAATAAAACACATAGACTACGACCTTCCAATCCAAAATGGAGACATATGGGTAAACCACTTCTCAAATCTCCCTGGCCAAATGAGGGCATGAGGGTCTGCTGTACAAACTGTTGGAAAGTGGAATTGGGGTTCGAAACTTAAAACATGATAATATCAGTGTACACAAACAACAAGTGTGCAGTGAAGATTGCCAAAAAAAAAAGAAGCTCAAAATGCCAGAGCATTAGACCGGGACAATGCTTAATTCCACCCCTCTTTAACATTTACATTAATGAATTGGCAAGGGCATCAGAACAGTGTTCAGCAACTGTCATCAACGTGTAGGACAATGAAGTCAAGTGCCCACTGTTCACAGATGATCTGGTGCTCCTCTCTCCAAGAAATGGCTACAGCAGCACCTTGAAGGCGTGTTGATATTTTGTTTCTAGGATGCATCTTGGACAATTCTGCATCGATGCAGTGACAGAACATAACAAGTTATTGCATATTTATATTCATATTTATCTGACGTCTTGTCTTCACTGATGAAAACAGAAGCCATGTGCAGTAATATAGAAAATCAAGGATGCAACCAATCGGGTACTGAGGCGTAGAACTGAATTTAGTCAAAAAGTGGCGTCAATTAGAGGCACACGTTCCTGGAACAAATTACCATCACATGTCACGGATGGTGAGAACTACCTTACCTTTAAAATATCTCAAACTTTGGTTAAAAACAAATCAGGCATTTACTCATATACATAATATCTATCCTCCCCTTCTGGTGCCCGTTCCCGAGGGCCTCTGGCTCATCCTGCAATTTTAATGAGCTAATTGTATGTGGGACTGTTATTTCTTATGTGACAACTGTGTTCATTCTGGTGTCCCTGTGAGTCCCTGTGAGTTATTTTGTATAATGATCTGCAGACTGTCCTTTGAGGTGTCCTGTTACTGTAAATTAGTTTGATGATTTTTTCCGAGTACCTGCCTGAGGATTATGGATGAAGTTTACCTTTTGTGCTAATTCTGACATATTTACACACAGTATATGCTGATATGTTGACTAATGAGCACCGTCCTTATTAAAGAGAAAAACAGGATAGTTACCCACTTTGCCTGATTTGTACTTTTGAAAGCTAAACAAATTATTTTTTAATGGAACAGCAGGTTAGATGCAATCTTGCTTAAATAAACACATTTTCCCCCGACAGTAAGAGTAACACTTGTCTAGTAGCCTAGATCAGGGGTTCCCAAACAGTGCTAGAGACTGGGGACCCCAATTGTTTTATATGGTTTTGGAAGGAATCCTTTAACAGTGTCTCCCGACCCCCACTTTGGGCTCCACTGGCCTGGTTAATGTTGATTGATTTTACATAATGGTTTCATTGACAATAACGACTTAGATTGCTAATTTTTACAAGTTAGTGACACTTTAAGAGTATTTTTTTGTATTCAGAATCTACAGCTTAAAATTAAAATAGATAAATATAGAGACTCATACAGGGCTCAAAGGTTGAGAAGAGAAAAACAAAGAATTTGAAGAAATCCCCTCATCCCACCTCAAAATGAAAACAATCACCAAACAATCAGTTTTTATACAACTAAAACTCCAGTATTTCTGTGAATTTCAGTAAGGAACACTCTCATCAAAAATGTTATTGCAAAAAATGGAAATACAGTTTTGATTGGCTTTCAAGGTGTTTGCTCCCTGGGTTAGCTGAGCAGCATGCCACAGCTTTCCAGGGTGCACAGCTCTAAACAATCCCAAATGGGTGAACCAAAGGTTTGAGGCAGAAAGGAGGGGCTGGGGTGGTGGAGGCAAAGCTTAGCCAGCAGCAGCAGCAGCAGCAGCAGAGTGTGTGCATCATTGGTGTAGCAGAGATCAGTGAGATGGAAGTTGGGTTTAAATGGACCTGTTTAATTTGAATCGTCTTTTAAATCTGCCAGTTTGTCTCTATAATGTTCAATAAACAACATCAATATATCAAACTCAAGGGCTAATCAATGAGGTTCATGTTCGAGTTTTGCTTTCACACATTTTGATTTGGCAACATGCAATCATTTTATATTCTCTTTTTCTAACATCTGCAGCCATGTCAACCTGCAATACCCCTGTGCTGCAGCAGAGGGTGCTGTGCATGCACCATTACCATTTGAATGTTCCCACGTGACCTTTTCTCCACGTGGTTCCCAGATAGTGACACTAAGAAGACGGGACTTTCCCTAAGCACTGCATTCACTCACAGATACTTAGGCCTCATGTCTCAGCTGTAGTGTGTTGCCATGGAGAGCTCACTGTTTTTGTTTTGCTCTGGCAGACCTGACCTTGACACCAAAGAAAGGGTAAGAAAAAAAGTTTGTGTTGGTGTTCATACAGGTCCATGTTTCCACATGTCTTCTAACAAATATAAAGACAAGGGCATGATAAAGTGATGACTCACTTTGACCAGTTTCGCCTACATTAATCGGCCTTATTAAAATGTTTAGGGCTCTAAAAACACCTTACTGAAGCCTATGTCTAGAATTAGTTTAAGGGAAGTTGACATCTAAAGCTAATTTTAGGTTTGGGAAATAAACTGACCTCAAGTTTCAGTTGAGCATAAATAATCAGATGTAAGGTTTAGTGTTAATGTTGGATTGATGAAGTAAATAGACTCATATCAGAACAAGCTCTGCTTGAAATGTGTGTGTGTAGACCTTGAGCTTTTTGCCCTGATACCAAATACAAACTTAAAACAGACGATGTCTGGTATCACTGACCTCTTGGTATTGGTGGAAACCCATTCGTGTTTACAAATGAATGCTGTGGTTTCATTTGCGTAATACGAACTTTAGTGGAAGTTGAGGCTTCTGATGTGACCACTACAACTCAAACCAACAAGTGTTTCCTAGGTTTGGATTAAACTGTATCATTTTAATAAAATGTATAACCCTGAAATAGAAGGAGAATTGATGGACCGACTTCAAAATACCTTAAATGATGTTAAAGACCAAGGACTTAGATACAAGACACAAGAGTAGCTTTACAGAGTTTTTTTTTATTTATTTATTTTACCCTCTCAATGAAAACTTAACCTACAAACCAAACTAGAAGAACAAGGTCTGAAAAGAGTTAATTTAAATCTAATAAAGTAGAGAAAACACAAGGTGTGAACTTAAACACAGACCTAACACATGAGACAAAAGAAATGGATAGTGGTTTGGCCAGACCAAATTAAAAACAAGGGGTAAACAAAATGGACACTAGTAAAACTGAATACTAAGCACATTTAACAAAGCCCAACTAGCTGGGCTAATGCGTTTTGGATCACCTGCAAAGGTTTGAATGTGCCTGCAGGGAGACCCTGAGTTTGTTGGGCTCAGAGGAGCAGCTGGTGGAAACCTTATCTGTAAAGAACGAGGCAAACCTGGTGGTGTGAGCAGAGTGGAGGATACAGGAGGAGTGAAATGCTGAAAACAGATGCAGAGATGAGTGGGCATTGCTTAAAAGCAGAATGTGTTTAAAGCCTCACAATCCTGATGTGGAGGCATGGTAGCCAAGATCTTCTTAGGGATGGTACATTTAAGTGGTACGTACATGTAACCACTGGTGGTGGAGCTTCAAGGGAACTCAGGTAAGGACGAATAAAAAAAACTGATCTGACAGATGTAGGGCTTACAACAAAGCCCTACATATACACTCCTGAAAATATCTCGATCATTTCAGGAGGATTGCTCAGGATATTCTCCCGACCTGGCTGTTCACACATGCTCCTCACAGCTGGAGACTACTCCTGTCAGAGGGGACGGGGGGGCCCAAGGTAAGACGTGATGTAAAAAAAAAGAGTCGGAAGAAGAAGCAACAGATTCCGCTATACGATGCTATAATGAGAATATTGTGTGGTGTGGCGGAATCACACTATCAACAAAAGAGCGGAGAAGAACATAATGACTAGCAGAAAACTTAATGCAGGCGTTTAATTACGTGCAAGGAGATCGTAGCAGTCGTGAGCAGACAGTCTCTCCCCCCCCCAGCTGAATTCTCCGCAGAATATCCTGCTGCGTTCTCACATCAGCCCGGGACTTGCTGCAGGAAAAATTACTAGGCTGGCAGGTGAAAGCCCTTTAAGATTAACTGTGGAGCAATCCTAAGCTAGTGCAGTGCCAAAGTACAAAGATGTAGCATATCCATATTTCATATAAAAGTGTTCATCAAGTACACATTAAGACAGAGCAACACATAAAAGTCAAAAAGGTGCAGCTCGTGTTCATAACTCGATTATATTTCCTGTAAAAGTTCCCAAGAGGAAACACCCAGTTGTGACGGACTGTAAAGTTAATAGGTTAGTCATTTGAATTGAAAAACACTTCTGAAGAATTATTCCGAGCATTAATTGCTCGGAGGAATGTGACTCACATTTAAAGCACAGACTCCTCTGACCTGGTAACAACGAGCAAATACCCAACAATGACTGCTGCTGAGATAAGGATGTCAACAACCTGTTGACGGAAAATACTGGTTGGATAAATATCCTGATTCCTTCCTGCACATGTGGTGTTGGAGGAAGAAAAGAGGAAAGGGGTGGGGGTGGGGGGGTAGGGGAGCACAGCTTAGCAGAGACTGTGGATCAGGTAAAAATAAAACAATGAGTGCAAAAATAAAGACTGAGAATCCTTTCATTCACACAAGCTGTCACAAATGAGTGTTGAAATGGGAACACACTGGAAACAAGACACTGGAGTTATTTAAAGAAATGGATACACGATGAATAGACAGAGACAAGATTTTAACCTGACGATAAATAACTTAACATTAATTGATGGGGGGGGGTGTCAATGAAAGAAGATCAGAAAGTGAGAGAGAAAAAGAGGAGGAGAGAAAACAAATGAAAGCCGTGATGTCACTCCGTCCCACTCCTTTCCTCTACAAATGCAGCAGAGCAGGGCTGAGCCTGCATACCACTGCTGCTGACGACTAACCTGCTCCCACACACTCACACACACACACACACACACACACACAAAGACACACTGTGCGCTCTCACGTCACACTCACTCAGCATACAACACTCAAAGAGACGCTGAAACTCAAACCAGAGAGATGCTACCAGCTGGCAGCCACTGAGTAAGTCCACTTCTCTCCTCTTTGTTATTCTTTCTCTCTCTCTCTCTGTCTTTTTGTTTTGTTTTGTTCTAGCCATTCTACAGGCTGCCTAAGTTCATTAATCTCTCCCACTCTCCAGCTATGTTGTGAAATGGCCCGTGTTTTCTCAGAAAGAGGCTTTTCAAACCTTTCTCTCAGTATGCCATGCACATGTCTGATAGCTTTTCTTTCTTTTCTCTGCATATGAGTGGAGGCAGTAGAAATCTCAGACCTATTTGCATCTTGGTGCTCGGCCAGAGTTATGTTTTTGGATTTTTTTTTCTGAAAAGCAGAGTTGAACCTATGGATTGCTTGACTACATAATTTTTACTTCCTTATGTAATTGAAATTTTGGGTTGTTGATGTCTGTGATTCCTTTGGAAGCTGTGCGGTCTGATTTGAATATTCCTGTTGAGCAGCTGTGCCAGAGCTGAAATGTGCACAGTTATTTATGGATGAGGAGATTTAATGGAGGCACATAACAGCTTTGTATGCTTCTGTCAGAACAATCAGGAAAATGAGTGAAAATCAATTGAAATGAGTGGGCAGTCTGGTCCAGTGATTTTATATTGCTGTTAATCACAGTCAGAGCCTTTAAAGCATTTACAGCTTTACAATATGAAACATCAACAAAAACACTCCCTCCTCCTATCTTTAGACGATAGAGAAGAACATGACCAATAATGTATCCCAACCCAGCTCTGAATCAAATAGAACAGATTAAAACAAGGCTAAAGTTATGTTTATTTCAAACAGTAGCTTTTAGAAATAGTAGATGATAGTTTGGATTAGTGGTTCTCAACTGGTGGGTTGGGACCCAAAAGTGGGTCGCGGTCCATTTGTGTGCCTGGAAAGAAAATGGTGTTAAAAAAGTCCATGAAGTGCTTTTGAAACATATTTGTTTTATTCCATTTGTTTGTTCTGTCACATGTTTTGTACAGTCAGAGATCTAAACTGCACAATTTTTCATGAAGTTAATCTGATTGGTTGAAAAATAGCAAGCAATTCTTCTCTGAAGGAGTTGGTAGTGGGTCCCGAAGCTAGACCAGTTGAGAACCACTGGATTAGATAAATATGAAGTTACAACTAAACCGTACAGATATAGATGAAGGATTTAAAATCACTTTTGTTTTCAGAAGTTTGACAGTGTCACCTTAAATCCTTCATCAGCTGGAAGATGACAACATGCTTATTTAACCGCTCAGTTCAGGCTGAGGTTTTTTTCAAGAACAAGTTCTGGTGTGCATTTTTTTTTATAATTTAACAACCTCCAACCTAGCTTTGTTTTTAATTAGTGCGTTGTTTTTCATTTCTCAATGTAAGAGATATTCACATCACAAAGTCAACAACAACAAAGACCACACAGAAAAACAAAACAGAACAACCAAAGATAAAACACTGAGCTCAAAGGGTGATATGTGACTTCTTCTCCTGTCTACTGTATAATAATGAAAACGTTTTTCAACTACAAGCCCTGTAGGCTCTCACTACATTGTTGCATAAGTTTCAATAGTTTGCACAGGGAGGAGACTGCTTTGTGTTTACTTGTAGATATAAGGTGGAAGTTCCTTTACTGGGGTTTTGTTCTTGAAAGTTCCTGCACTAGGTGTAACTAAACTGGTGCTGTTGATATATTTGTGCCACCAACATTGATAACGAGCTGGGAAAAAAACGGTCTGAGCGGTGTGTTGAAACGTGAGGGGCCGTGTATATGAGAGAGAAACAACTCATGCTGCTCACTATCTGTGCCTGTTACACTCAGATAGCTGATGTAGTGTGTGTGTGTGTGTGTGTGTGTGTGTGTGTGTGTGTGTGTGTGTGTGTGTGTGTGTGTGTGTGTGTGTGTGTGTGTGTGTGTGTGTGTGTGTGTGTGTGTGTGTGTGTGTGTGTGTGTGTGTGTGTGTGTGTGGGTGTGTGACCCCTGTGTTCCTGGCAGTGTTTGAAAGCACACTGGCGTTCTCACTGCCAACTGTATGCAGAGTAAACACTGCACACAAAGGTAAATACATTTGGCATTGTGGGCTCATATGCTGAAACCTATTGTGTTTAGCTGTTAGATCAGGAATGAACAGAGTTAAAAAAAAACAACTCAGTGTAGATATAATCACTCTCTCTCTCTATCCCCTTCCTTCTCTCTTCTGTGAGTCTTTCTCTCACTGTCAAAAGCTTCAGAAACAGCAGTCGATCCTGACACTTTGTGCCTTCCCCTCCACAGAGCCTGACACACTGCACTCAGGAAGTACACTTGACAAAGGACACGAAAGTGACCTCCTGCACTTAGACGGCACCCGATCCCACATCCTTCAAAAAAAAGGGAACCCGACGCAAGAAAAGGGAGTGATCATAACGTAGTGCTGAAACACGACCCATTCAGCTGAGGAGAAGACAGGTGGACGACTGTCTCTGGTGCCTGAGGAGAAGAAGCAGCATGCTAGCAAAAATCCTTGAAGACATGTGGGTGGAGCCGGAGGTGCTTGAAGCCCTCAATGAGGAGCAGAAGAGGATCCTCTTCTTGAAGATGAGGGAGGAGCAGGTACGCCGCTGGAGAGAGCGCGAGGAAAGGGACGAGAGGGAAGGAAGAGACAACGCCAACACCCGGTCAAAGAAAGGTAGAGAGCAACACCGGCCTTGCTTCCTTTAGTTTGTACATTGATGAACTCGTACACATAGAGAGCACACTTCTCATGTCTAACACTAAAGTACAAGTATGATACGAAACATAGAGAGAAACATAGTTTTGTATCAGGAGAGGGTAAAATGTCTGGGAGTGTGAGCTTTCTACAAACACTGAAATAACTCTGGAATGAAGTTAAACTACCAGCTTCTCAAACATGGTGTCATTTCTTTCCAGTAAATTAGTGTCACAATAAAATTGACGTTAACTCTTCACCGTATTAAGATAAAAACGACTGTAAATATTAATAGACGAAGCCTGAGTGACATCACCCATCTGTTACTCATTCATAAAGTAAAACAAATACCAATCAGACCTGTTTAGTTTTTTGAACCAGGCTGTAAACATGTTTATTTCTGCTGTAAAAACATTTGTGTTGGCTGTGGTGTGTATGTGACTTCCAGTGTTTCTGGAGCCAGCCTCAAGTGGACACTCGATGAACTGCAGGATTTTGGACTTCCTCTTTGGTTTAATTTTTCAACAGCGGAGGTTGTCGCTTTGATAAAACATACAAACCTCTCTCTTCTTAAGTAGAAGGAGTGAGATGTAAGAATAATTCAACTCTGATATCTGACAGATGGTTAGCGTAGCTTTAAAGTCTGGGAATAAAAGTGACACAGGAGGCTTTCCTAACTTTAACGGTGACACGTTACATCAGCTACCTGCAAACTTCACTGTGCATCATGATTATTTAGTCTTTACAGAAAAAAATCACAAGGCATGTACATATCAAGTCCAGTTTTACACAGATCATTTGTCAGGGCGGTGACTTCCTGATGTGTCTGTTATAAAACCCTGATAGCTGTTCTTCTTGGTTTTATGCTCAGCAAAGACACAAACAGCCTTTTTACTGTTCAAAGTCTTAATCTGAGTTAATCTGAGAAAAGTTATCAATACCCTTTTGATTTCAGAAAGTCATTCAACCAGAGTATTTCTCACAGTGTCAACATTTGTATTGTTCTTTTTTTAAGTTCTGATACAAACTGTTTTCTAGTAGAGATCATTACATTTGATTGTTATGAGCTTAGTTTTACATCCTGGTAGAAACCAAGACTTTGAAGAGTATTAACAATCTTCACATTTACTGTTTTTCAGTAATTCATTCATCAAAAATAACAATGGCAGCCTCAACAAAGAGCTTTCATTGTTATCAACTCCCACAAGTTTTGGCCACTACTCAAATATTCAGTTTTAATCTGGGAAGCTGGTGGGGTCATTTTGATGTATGATATTAGTGTTTCTAAATCCTGACCCTGTTTGATGCCACTCACATCAGAAAGGCCACTTACTGAGCTATGAGTGTTTGAAAACTCTGAGTTAAACCACAGGTGAAAATCAAAGGTAGTATTGATGGTATTCATTTACTGTATGTTTGCTTAACACTTACTTTACACACAGTCACACACACACACACACACACACAGGACACGGGGGCATACATTTATAATAGTTCAAAGTAAGCACATTATTACTCTATTTCCAAGTCGCTCCAGCTCCTTAATGTGAATCAGATATCTTCTAACCTCTGAGAGCCGATGATACACGCCGTGTGTCCTAACACACTCTCTAGTGTTACTGGTCTGATTCATGTTTAAATTACACCAAGTGTCGTCTGACTCGTTCCTCTAACCTGTCTTGACGATTCATTCTACACACATGAGATTTAGTAAGCGCTGTTGTTTGGTGGTTTGGGGCGTTGCCATGCTTTAAACCAAATATTAAGTTACCTTCTTTGTTTACCCAATCTCTGCCATGTCACCGGAGCTGTCTGTGTGTTTGGGTTACACAACCTAAGATCCAGTTAGTCTTCTTTCATTCTTTGTTCATTCTACATCACAGTTTCAGTTTAGGGGAAACACTTTCTGTGACATCATAAATTACCTTTATTTCTTGTTACCAAATCTGAGAGAGGAGAGTGTGAACGTAAAGGTGTGCTGCACAGAGACCAGGACTTATTTCAGATTTGGTCTACATACAATGTACGCTCACATAGCAGGTAACTGTGTTTAAACTCAAGATGTTCCAGGAAATATGAACAAAAACAAAGCTTTTACTGCAAGCTGGTGTCTAACAAATCTGTGCAGTGAGTCAAGACTTCTGTTTAAACCACACCTTCACTTTTGCTGTCATGGAAAGCACCTTTTATCACATGTTGGCGAGTGGGGTTTATTTGTGCTCCCCATGTGTCATAAAGAGGTGTGGCTTAGATATTCTCATTCTTAGAGCTTTCAGAATAAGTTTTCCTGCCAGGAAATGAAAAGAAACAATTGTCTCGACTCACGGCACAGATTTGTTAGAAACCAGCTTGCAGTAAAAGCTTTGTTTTTGTTCATATTTCATGGAACATCTTGAGCTTAAACACAGGTACCCGCTATGTGAGCGTACATTATATATAGGCCATATCTGAAATGAGTCCTGGTCTCTGTGCAGCACACCTTCACACTCTCCTCTCATAGATATGTGACCAAGAAATAAAGGTCATTTATGATGTCACAGAAAGTCTTTCCCCTTAACTGAAACCGTGATGTCACAGAAGCACCTGTGATCACTGGTTGGGGAGCGGGGTCTATTTATCTTATCTGTGTCATAATGAGGTCATCAGGAAACAACTAAAAATTAACCAACTGAAATAAGCTAAATAGACTTTATAAACTCCACCAATCTAAAGGTTGTACACACAGCAGTTACAGTATAATCAATAATAGAGTATACTCTATTATTATAATAAAGCTACTGTAGGCTGTAGCACACCTACTAATACAAGGGTTTTTCTTTAGTTTAACTATTTTCCACATTTTAGAATAATAGTCGGTATTAAAACAATAAAAATAAAACATTTCATTTTTGTTCTGTAAAGAAATGCAGACATACAGAATTCAGTGCATTATGTTAAAGCACACCATTTCTGGATATCTAGTGAATCCTGTATTCTTTTACCTTACAGTGCCTGTTCAGCCTTAGGATTGGTCACAGTGATTCAGCTTACAAACAAACACAAAGAATGTGAATTGCTGGTATTAGCAGTAATAATCCTTACTTTGGTCAGCATCCAGTTTACAGGAGTCCAAATGTGCAAACGAGATTTAAACACAAACAAACACTAAAATGAAGAGACCTTTGAGTTAAGACGTGTATATTTCCTTCCTCATAGGTGCATGCCTTGGTTTACACAGGCCTCAGTTTCCAGTACCAAAAAAAAAGAAGCTATGTACAACATTGAACAAGTGGGAGGAAGGCTGGTTCTTAAGTTTCATCTAAACTTTTTTAATACTTTTTATTGTCACCATGTCTCGACTATGCATATTTTACACTCAACGTAAAGATGACAATATAGTTACATTTCTTTAAGTGAAGTGAAAAGGTGTGTACCTCAGTGACAGCTGGAAATACTAAAGGAAATAACACAACAGAAGTAATAACAACAACTACAGTACAGAGACTACCTGTGTTACACATTTTTTTAATTTGTTGAATTCACACCGAAATAGTTTGGATCTGTATTCCATAAGTTCATGAGTTTTCCCTTCATCAAGGTTTTCTCTGCTTCCTCTACAATATTTAAAAAGCTACAACAGAATGGAGAACCCAACAAATTAGTTTATATCAAATGAAATAAGAAGACGAAGAAAAGATCAAACTGTTGAGAGAAGAAGAGGAGTTAGATAGTAAAAATGATAAATGAAGAAGAATAGAATAAGATAAAACCTATAAATAATATAGATGACCTTACTTAAGGTAAGGTTTGTGCTGTGCTCTCCTAAGTGACTGGCTATAAATCTATAATCTATGAATCTATGAAGTGGTATTATTAGTAAAATTAAAACACAGCATTATAAGAGAATGAAACTAATTTAGTTCGTAAGAAATCAAACCATAACCATACCGTTATCGATATACTACGATCAGTTGTATTCATTTCTTTTTGTAGTGATAGAAGTATTCTTCATTGAGTTTTGTTTTTCAGTGAGACACAATGAATTGATTAGTCATCAGACAGACAGAGGAAATGATCAGCAGTAGAGAGAGCAGTGAGTGTTGGACGAGGTTCCTGGAGCTCTATAATTATAGGACAGCACCACCTACTGGAGAAAAGTCAGAACAACATTTTAAGATGACTGTTTTTCTCTGAATCTGTGTGAGAGGGGAAACAATCTGCTGCATGCTTAACAATCCTGTTCTTTCTCTCAATCTTATCCCCCCTCCCCTCCCCTCCCCTCCCCCAACAGCGTACAATAAACATGTGAGCTGGCTGCTTGGTCGGGATGGAGACGTGAGCATCAGTGTGATCGGAGAGGTGGACGAGTTCAGGTCCTCCAAACTCCTCCAGAGCCTCTCGAACAACAGGTAGAAACCGAACACACAAAGTTTGTCTCATGGCAATAACATCAAATCTAGTAAGAAGTATTCAAGATGTCTTTGAGGCGACAAACATATTCTATTGGACACAGAGCCACTTAGTAATGCAGCAGTAGGCTGATTAGAAAGGAGTGATGTTAATGTTGAATTTAAAATGAAAAAAAAAAAGATTTACTCCATGTTAATTTGTACAGGGACAAGTATGATGTCACACCCTATAGAAGTAATAGTCTGAACTATTTACAGATACCCATCACACATTGTTCATCATGAGGTTAAATCTATCTTTTCAAAAGAACTAGAGACTGAAACAAAAATGTCCCGAATGCCTCACATGTAAAATGTATCTGAGGCAGGCCTCACCACACATCAGTAACACATTGTGAGCTTTTAGTGTTGTGCACAAAATGTTTAGGAGGTTTCATTGTCTACGTTTTGCATAAGGACTTTGTTTCTTTGAATGATATAAAGACAGCTCTGTCAGCCAGAACAACATGTTGCTTAACACACATGTGAAAACGTCTACAGAGGTTCATCAAGCCACCATTCCTTTCAGCTGATTACATAACTCTGATTCACTTTGATAAGATGAACAATGAACTAAAGGATTTCCGTCAGCATGCAGTCTTCTTGTTCCAATTGGATTCTAAAAGTTATTTGCCGTATGACTTGCTTCAGCAGTCGGGGCTGTGTGTCTGTCTGTCGGACTAAAAATGGACGTCTTTGTCATTCAGGGTCCGCAGTGATGATGTGATCGGCATCCAGACAGCCGACTTGCAGCCGGGGAGAGACGGCCAGCAGCTTTCTGATGTGAGCGTGAGTTATTGTGTTATGCGGCAACCTTTGTAGTTGAAAAAATGAAGCCGATGCGGAAGTGCAAATTCCTGCAGTTTGTCAAGGGTCCACTTGAGGCTGGCTCCGGGAGACCAGGAAGTCACATACACACCAAAAACGCTCATTTTTAAAGTAGAAAAGTACATGTTTACAGCCTAGTACAAAATAAAGAAAGAGGTGTCATTAGTTTTTGTCCTCATGGGCACACACTGTATGTAGTGAGAATGTTTTTATAACACATCCGTTCTGATTTTATGAACGATGTGTGTTATTCATAGTTAGGCTGAGACAACATTTCCAGCATGGCGGCAGACGCTGGTGAGCCTCTGGAGCCCCCTTGAACTCCCCAGATGGGTGACGTCACTCAGGCTGCGTCCATTATATTTTACAGTCTGTGGTTTGCATGTGGCTCATGTAACAAGGAGCACAGAAAATGTAAAACAACGTGTCATATTATTAAATGGTGTCTCGCACACAGGAGGACCCCGCCTCGCCAAACAGTCAGCCATGTGAAGAAGACTTGGACTCCTGCAGCGCCGATGATGACCTGAAAGACCAAGCTGAGGACAGCGATAGTGAGTCAGGTGGCAGCTCGGACAACCACAACGAGTGGACCCTTCTCTACAAGCCACATTTTAGTAGCCATGGCAACCAGCCGTCGCTCAAAGCCCAGCTGTCAGGCACAGAGATGGTCGGCCAAAAGGACAGAGGTGACAAAAGAAAAGACAAATGTGATTTATGTATGTTTAGGATGAATGTCAAAGGCTATGATATTCAATATTTGTATTCTAATCAGGTCAAAATAGAAACACAAACACATTCATGAACATTTTTTATATTTCACACAATAAAATAAAATAAAAGATGGGGGACAATAAAACCTTAGAATGATACTGCATACAAAATAAGGTATGCAAACTTAAATAAATAGCAATAGATAGGCCTCTTAAACTAAAAACAATAGCTACTGTAGCCTATTCTTGATACAGAGTAATCTGTAATTTGTACTGTGAAGAATGAATGGTGAAAAAGATTCATTTGATCTTATTATTTTAACTGTCCAGGATGAGTCTGACAGTCATTAGCACGATGCTTATTTGAGAGAACATTAGACCTCAAGTCCTGTGACATTTATTTATATATCACAATTTATATGAGCATGACTCAATGTGCTTAAAAGTATTTCTTTATGGTTTATATTTGGGGCCTTTTGCCTTTTTTTTATTAGACAGGACAGCTGAAGAGAGACAGCAAATGTTGGGAGGAGAGAGTGAAGGATGACATGCAGCAAAGAGTCAAGGTTGGATTCCAACCTATGGCCGCTGCAAAGAGGACTATTGCTTCAGTACATGGGGCGTGCGACATAACCACTTGGCTATCCATCACCCCTTCAAATTAAAAGTAGACACATTTCCTAGATACATTGCAAGATATACTCCATTTATTTATGATTTAGCCAAACGCTTGTGCAAAGAGATATGTTTAAAGTCTGCTTTTTGAAAGAAGACACAGTTGCCTTACCTTAGCTCATGTGGTAAAGAATTCCAGAGAGTAGGACCATAATGGTTAAAAGCACCATGAATGGACTGGTATTATTTGGGGTACTGTAAGGAGACCTTTATTTGAAGATCTGAGGGACCTGTCTGATGTGTACTCAGTCAGTACTTGTTAAAAACAATAAGAAGACTTTTTGGTTTGAGTTCAAACTCTGGCAGCATCATTCTGAATGAGCTGCAGTTTATGTAGCACCTGTAACTCCAGTAAAAAGTGCATTGCAGTAGTCAAGTCTACTGGAGGTGAAAGCATGAACCAGCTTTTAGAGTCCAACTGTGACATGAAACATCAAACTCTGGATAGGTTTCTGAGATGGTAGTAGGCTGTCTGGGAGATATTTGCTACAAGCTTCTGAAAGTTGAGATCAGCGTCTTGAACCTGTAAAGTGTCCTAAACATCCAGCTGGTGCTGATGTTGGTGACACACTTCTGATAGTTCATTGTAGTCAACACATGTTGTTTAATGTTATGATGCAGCAGTTGATGAATGTTTAACCAGAAATGTTGTGCATATAAGATGTTTGAATGTTAAGGTGGTGACGTGAATATGATTCAGATTCTGTGTATTAATTTGTGTTTCTTTCTCTTCCTCTCAGAGATGGTTTGTAGTGAAGAGAACAAGTCTGAATATCAAAGTCGCGTGGCACAGCTCAAGAAGACATTCGCTGATGATCGTCGTAGCTCTTCACCTACCAACACCAAACCTCCCATACCTGCCAAACCTGCTCACCTACAGAAGAAAGGCACAGCTTTGCACAGCTAGGACCGAGGTGTCCACCCTGCTACAAGACAGTCCAGACTGAGGACACATACACTGGAGGAAAGGGATCCTTGAACTTTGAACCTTGAAGGATCAACCTACGTACAGGCCTAAGGAGTGGGCCGGAGAAAGACTTGAAAGCTTATGTCAAGTCAACTTGGAGGATAAAAAAGAAGCAGCTTTTGATGATGCTGAGTTACGCTCCATAGTTTCTGTGATTGACAGCCAGATGCAAAGAGCTGTCCAGAGAGACTTGCACTGACTACTGACTCTAACTGAGGACACACAACATTTATTGTAAAATAAATGTTACTGAAACTAGAAGCACAAGTCTGATGAGGACCATATTCATATCCAACTGTACAGTTAAAAAAATGTACATTGTTTCTTGTAGTTATTGTTTCTTGTCGCTGTACTCTGTTAACGTAGTTATTGGTAAAAACAAAATAAAGAGTTACTTTGTAAAAATATATGAAGGCAATCCTGTAAAAACACAGTGCCCTGAGAGTTTTGATGAGCTCTTTAAACAGGGGCGTCATGCAAGCCAAAATTCTGTATTTTGAGATATTTATAATCTGAAGGCAAAATGGTTATTATTTCTCCTTCAGTGTGGCAGTCCGAGGAAACCTCAGTGAAATCAAGAGAAATTACTCCCATCCTATAGCTAATTTTTTGTAGCTTTTTTAACAGATATCTTCCATACTTGAAATATAATTTATTACTACGTATTATATAAATATGAATGGTAAATGGACTTGAGCTTGTATAGTTATTTTATAGTCTTCTACTCAAAGTGCTTTTACTCCACAGGTCACACCTACACATTCACACACTGATGGTAGAAGCTGCTGTGTAGAGTGACCATAAGAAATAACTCCCATTCATACACCGCTGACAAAGCAGCGGGAGCAACTTGAGGTTCAGTGTATTACTCAAGGACACAGCAGACATTTTGCTGCAGGAGCTGGGGATTGAACCCTGCCCTCACGGTTAAGAGACAACCATCTTCACCACTGAGCCAAAGCCGCCTAAATAAGTTATTGTTTTAATACCAAGATGTGAGAAAAATCCTGTCAGATTCTTAAAAATCTGAAGGGGCTCCAGCCCCCCCTGAGATTCAATGGGCATGATGCCTCTGACTTTACAGAGGTGTAAAATCTGTTCTTGAGCGGAAACCCAACACAGTGTACGGGGAACTTGGTCAAAGTCACACAACGTCAATCTGAGTAATATTACATGAAATAAATAAGTAAATAAATAGCCTACATAAAATGTTTATTTAAAATGTTTAAAACGGAGTTATCTGCTTTCAAATAAGCTCTTCAAATGATGAACAGTCCTGTGCGTTTGATGATGGTGACTGATGTTAGCTTTTAGCTCAAAGTCTATAGTGAATTAAAGCGCTGTGATTTATATAATTTATATAATAGATTGTAAGTAAATAAGAGATTAACACAAACTATTTAACTAAACAAAATCCTTAACTCTGTCGGATAAAGTTTGTAATTAAAAAACAATTTGTCAAGAGATCTGATCACAAGATCCATTTATTCTACTTTTTTTTTTTCTACTTCACAACTGACATAAAGTGACTGGATCCATTACTAACAACTTTAATTATCACCATGACAACTGACACGGCTGACACCACAACACGTCGTTGAAAGCTGTGGAAAACAAAACGAGTGGATCTTGTGATGAAAATGTTTTGTTAAACGTCTTATTGACTATTTTGTTGCAAATCCAATGAATTGAGTTACAGTTTGGGATTGACAACACATGCACGTCAACAAACCCCTCCATTGTTAACTCCTTCACGTCTTTACTTGTTTTGGGGCCTTCTAGCCTCTGGCGCAGTCTAAAGTCTGTTTAACACATGATCAGTTGGACTGAGGTCAGTTGACGGGGCATGGATCAGGTGACAGACTTGGCAAGGAGAGAATTACACTTTTTTTGCCCTTACAACCTGCTGTTAACAATGACTGATGTGCCTTTTTAATGGACAGGAGCTCCTATGATGTTCAGCCAACATGCATTTGAACAGCATGGCACACTCCTACAGCTTTGATCCCTTTAATCTCATGGTTATTGTCCATGGTGGCCAGAGAGAGAGAGAGAAAATTAAAGGTGTTCCTGCTCCAATATGTAAAGACTGCACCGAGGTTTTAGAAGTACTGTAGAAAAGTAAATTTAAAAAAGTGTTGAATTTGAGGTGTAATCATCATTTATTTTGAAGGTAATGAGTGTTCAAGCTGCAGTTACTACTTAACTCATGGGTTAAATATTCCCTTTACTTGGTCACTAATTCCCTATAAAAACCTGGCCCCTGCTTAACAGTTTCACAATTTTTTATTGTGTATTTTCATAGTAGTGTACATGTCTTTGGCTCTATTGAAACAAAGTAACGCACCTAAAAGATTGATCTCATCTTGCTGAATGTTCTCAGCACAACTGTGTTAGTGTTTACTCAGTATCGAGGCATCTGATAGTGGAAGACAGAGAAGTTGTTGATGGTGGTCAATTACACACAATGATGATCTATTCAGCCAAATGCGTCAGAAAGCAGCTCATCAGAGATCAAACAGAGAGCACAGAGAGCTGGGTGAGCATGTGGTTCACTTTGGGACGGATAGCAAGACGCTCGAGGAGACAGAAAAAATGGGAGTCAGGTCACGGGAAGCAACACGTCAGAGTCAACTCAATAAAGTTCTTCACATTCTCTCACTGTTCCTGCCCCCTTATCTGTGTGTGTGTGTGTGTGTGTGTGTGTGTGTGTGTGTGTGTGTGTGTGTGTGTGTGTGTGTGTGTGTGTGCTTCTGAAGGGCATGCGTGTGTGTGTGTGTGTGTCAGCCTGCCCATATATCTTGAATCATGTGACTTGACACGAGCAATCATGCACAGTGTGAAAAGCCCCACTATATATAGAACAACAGTGTTGGGTTTCCAAGCAAAGCATTGTAGAAGTCCGGTCATCTTTGTCACATAAGAAAGTACAGACTTGTTATGTTTTCATCGACTGAAGGTCTGAAGAGTGATGCTGCTCATATTATCAGAGGAGCCATTTAAACACAGAAACTTAAAAAACAACAGATGTAGTATTTGTTTTAAGCCTCATAAGATGAAACTACATTTTAGTAGCCACAGTAAAGAGACAATGCACCATAATGTGTTGTTTGAGACAATCATGCAGAATCTATAGACTACAATGATGTTTTAACATTCAAGCCATGCTAGTGATGTTGAGTTGTTGATTGTAATGTCTGTTTCTGAGTCTGTTTGTCCAACCTCTTTGGTCCAGACTGAAATCTCTCAACCAATCAATCAGTCTTTATACGTTTAGTACAAGTTATCAACAAATGTTATCTCAATACAAAAAGAGCAGGTCTCGACCGCACACTTTGATTATGTACAAAGATCCAGCATTAATACACCATGAGCTTAGAAACTTAGAAACATTAAGAAAAGGGAAACTTCCTTTAAGCAGGCAGAAACCTCGAGCAGAACCAGACTCATGTTGAACATCTACCCAGACTGTGTTGAAGCTGAGAGGGAGACGTAGAGAGAAAGAGACAAACAGAGTAACAACAACAACAACAACAACAGTGAATACAATTCTAAAATTCACTTAGCAGACGCTTTTATCCAAAGCGATGTACATCAGTGAATAATGTAGCTACAATGGTAACATTATGTGTGATAATCGCAGGAACAATCATGTATGATCATTCTTTTTTTTTTCATAAATTTTTGTGCTTTTTGTGCTTTTATTTTTAGAGATATGACAGTAGAGTTGGAAATCAGGGAGAGAGAGAGTGGGGAATGACATGTGGGAAAGGAGCCACAGGTCGGATTTGAACCTGGGCCGCCCGCTTGGAGGACTACAGCCGCCGTACATGGGGCGCACGCTCTAACCACTGCCCCACCAGCGCCCCATGTATGATCATTCTAATGAGCCTTAGCAACTATAATGATAATGAAATGAGGTTGACTGATATTGAGGACTGAGAAGTTGAAGTTAGATGACTTTAACATCATTAACTAATAGTTTGATGGATTTGGAATGAGGTCCCCTCAGGATGAATACTAATCTCTGGCAGTGTAGAGTAGTAACAGCATACATTGATTTACGTACTAAGAATGTAATGTACTTTTACTTTACATGAATATTTTGAATCCCATGCCTTTTTATTCTTACATTACAGCTGTTTTCCTGAAGCGCTGCCCTGGTTAAAATACTTTATCACCACGCATTGCTTTACTTCCTGGACCACCAGGACACTTTTTTAATCTGCCACAGTTTGAAGATTAACAGATTTTGTGTACACATTACCTTAAAAACGAACATGTAGAACCAGACGGATGCGTCAAAATGTCAGAGTATCTTGATGTGTTTGTGTTTTGACAGTTGCAACCCAGTTGTAATTTGCAAGGACTGACATAATAATCTAAGTTACAAATGTTCTTTTGATGTTATCTTATAGTCTTTGTGCTTTTTTTGTAGGTTGCATTGGACCCCAACAGAAAAGGAGGATACTGTTTATAAGAAGACGGTCTATTCCGACACCAACAGCTTTGGGGTTAAAGGTCAAGTCACCTTTTGACCCCCGTGCAACAAAAATATAACCTGAGGGCCGATGAGCCTGGGCTTTTCAGGGATGTAAGACAACCATTGTGATTCTGTTCTGGGGATACATGCTATCCATGTGTAGTAAAAAAAAATGAACACAAATGGAAAACACAGGCATAATGAGGAGTAATCTCAGAAAGATGCTGTTTCTGCAAAGCTGTAACACATTTTCTAACACTGGGGATACAGCCAATGGGTGAGCAAAAATTCACAATGAGACGTAGTGTCTCCAAGCAGACACAGTGGCCAAATTTTCAAAGGTCTGGCTCGTGAGAGAGGGTCCGCCCAGTTCCAGCACAGGTTGCCTTGGGCTGGCAGGTTGTTCCATCGGAGAGTGAGCGAGAGGAGTTTTTCCTCCAGAGAGAACAGGGCCGCTGGTTCTAACATATGTAAGCTCCACAGGGGTCTGTGACGGCACACACCCGCTATCTGGACAATGCATCCATCATTAACCCTTATAGCCCTGCATCTGATAGCTCTTCATTCAGCCTCCATCAGTCTGCTTGCTCTTGGATTTCACACTCATCTCTCCTTCCCTCTTTGTTTGGACCACGTTATCTTCATCCCCTGCTGTCCATCTCCCGTCCTCCTCCCTGCATATCTCTCTCCTTCTCTTTTCTCTCCCCCTGTGGCCTGCTTTTCATCTCTCTCCGTTTCACCCACTCTGTTTTACCCCCCCTTACATCCCACTCTCTCCTCCCTTCTCCCCCATTCACCCTCTCCCTAGATCAGCTTTCCACCTCCTCCTCCACCAACCCCACTCCCCCCAACTCTCTCCCTCTCTCAAACCCTCCCCCCTCCTCCTCTTCTCTGTCCTCTGTTCATCCCTCCTCCTGCCCCCTCCTCCTCCTCCTCCATTTCTCTCCTGCCATCTTGCAGGCCAGTGGAGCCAGACTGCAGGCGTTCAGGGAGTCACTGGACCTGCTGGGCAGCGGGTGACACAGATTTCCGGTGTGTGTGTGTGTGTGTGTGTGTGTGTGTGAGTGTGTAAGTGTGTGTGTGTGTGTGTGCATGCGTGACAAGAACAGGGAGGGGGGATTAAGCTCCAAATCACTAGAAAGGCACCGAAGAGAGGGGGAGAGAAGGGGAAAAAAAGCTGCAGATCCAAGAATTTGAAATTCCCCCTTTGTCTGGGAGATGAAGAAACATTAGACTGTGGACTGAAACTAAAAGACTGCGTGTTTTCCATTCAGTGGGAGTGTTGGACTTGCATGGTGTTGGAGCTCACTGCCTTTCTCCATGAGTTGGCAGTGTCCTGCGTTGGCTGGCGTGCTGCGTTTTCTCTCTCTCTCTCTATCTGCCTTACAAACACGCACACACACATACACAACCCCCACTCCCCCACAGATGCATGCACGCACACACATGCACGCGCGTGCGCACGCACACACACACACACACACACACACACACACACACACACACACACAGTCCCTCTGCGATCCCCCTGACTGAAGGCACACAGGAAGTGCAGCCGTGGCCCAATTATAGCGTGACACCTCGGGCCGGCCGTTGCCATGGTTACGTCTTCCCTGCGGTCCCCTGGAGTGTGGCGCCGTGGAAGAAGGTCTTATCACATCAGCCATCGTTACGGCAACAAGCTAAAACCCACCCTGTAGCCTCAGTCCAGCTGGCTGTGTATTTTGTTTATTAGGAGTGGTGTGTGTGTGTGTGTGTGTGTGTGTGTGTTTATGATCTATACTTGTGAATAAAAGGGAAATTGTGTGAATAGAAAAGAGGGTGTTTGTGATTGTGTGTGCATGTCAGGTGAGGTGTGTTTGAGTGGACTTGCCAAGGTGTGTTTGTGTGTGTGTGTCTGTGGGGTTGAGATAAGGCTCTCAGCCACACCATTAGGTGACTCATAATCCACACAACCTCACACTCTCACACATACATGTGTACATGTGTACAACCACAAATATGCAGGCTAACAGACACATACACCAATTAATAATAATAATAATAATACGGACACACACTAACGCACACACAATAACACAGGTGTAGTATGAACCCAGCCTGTAGACAAATGTACACAGCCAATTTCTTTTATTTCAAAAGGGCATCCAGAGCTATACAGTACAAGTTGCACATGAAATAATTTAGCCTTGGCCGATCAGATTCATTTCTTACTGATGCAGTTACGTCAGAACAAGAGAAACAAAACTCCCCGTAAGAAACAAAACATTTGGCTCCTTTTTTTTTACGTTGAAACAGAATAAATCCAAACTGGACAGGGATGTAAAAAAGACATAATGTTTCCAGATATTTACAGTCTATTTACAGCATTTTTGTTGTCGTCTAAATATTGACACACACTGGTATCCTTCTTTCTCTCCTCTCCATGCTGATTGTCAAAAGAAAGGATGGGAACAAGTGTGGACATTCTTATACAGAGCTGCAGCTCTTCACTAAACACATGATCTGAAGGTCTTTGAATCAAAGTCTGAGCTCTTGGTGTCCTGTGTGTTTTGTTTACTGCAGTTTCTCAACAATCATCCAACCAGGAACCGCTGACAAATGCTGTCACCTCATACGTTACTATCCATCCAAGGCGCTGTTGCTTCTCTCCTGTGCCAGACCCAAAGTAAAGTCGGAGCCCCTTAGATCAAACCCGGACACTCTGCTGTCAAACCCAGGACCTCCAGGCTTCCTCTTCAGCTCCTCACACTTTCTGTATTTACAGATCTGGTGTCCCCTCTTGCGATTGCGGCAGCTGCTGCACTGTTCGCAGTTCGTCTGACGCCGACAAGGTACACACTCCCCACACCTTTTCCTCTTCCTTCTCCCTCCACTGCCCCCGCCCAAAGAGCCAGGAGAGTAGCCCTCGGCCACTAGCCCCTCCATACCCTCAGCTCCCATGGTTGCACTTCTCCAGTGGCCACCCCCCATCTGAAAGCCAGCCAAGGGGAAGAGAGCCGGGCTGAAGGGGAACCAGGCACCCAAAAAGGGTTGGAAGTCGGTTCCACATCCAGAAGAGTCCTCTTCCTCCTCCTCTGGTCCGGACCCACCTCCCTCTCCATCCCCCCTCTCCCCCTTTGCCTCTGCAGCGTCCCTCTTAGCCGGCTGGTTGCTCTGTGCACCCAGGCCATCCTGCTCTGTGGTGGCTGGGGTGAGAGCCAGCAGCCCGGCGCGCATCAGCAGCTCTGCTGCGTGGGCCAGGTGGAGCCCACTGGGGGACTCCCACATGTCAGGCCAGGAGGGGGTTCGGCGAGGCTTAGTGTGTGCAGGCTGTGTGGTGGGCTGCTGGGCCGGGGAAGGTTGGATCAGGCCTTTGACGTCCACCGGTGGGGAAGGGGTGGAAATGTAATGGGAGAGGCTGTAGGGGTGGTGGGAGCGCTTAAGGCTGGGTCTCAGTGGCTCATTGGGGATTTTAGCACTGCTGCGGGCCTGATCTGGGGAGGAAGGGCCAGCGATGTCTACCGCGGTGGACATAGCAGTGGCTCTGGGTGGGGGTGTCTGTCTTTGTGTATGCGTGTATGTGTTTGTCGAGGTGAGGGAGAAGGGGATTGAAGCCGACGCGGGGTTGACAACTGTCCTGCTGTTACTTCAGCCAAAATGGCAAGCCTTGGCCTGTGTCCCTATTCCCATTCTCTGCAGCAGCCTTAGAGTCCTGGAGAGCTAGAAATGAATAGGGGATGAAGAGAGGAAGGTTAAGAATAGAAATGTTGGAGGGACAAAAACAGAAAGAGAGTAAACAGCGGAGATGAGACGTGAATATTTTTTTTGACAGGCCCACTAAACCCTGTCAGGGATCGAGGGTGTGGAGAATCTGTTTTTAAATAAATATGAATAAAGATTTAGTAATAAGGCTGCTTGAGGAGATGAACAGAGCCAGGTATGAGACACAGTGCATGCCTTTCCAATGATTTCCGCATACAGGAGGCAGTATCCCTTTAAGAATTTCACGGTATATCAATGCAATCAATAACAGAGCGACAACAATATGCAAAGATATGCGCATATGCGCAGGTCAAATGTGGAGCGCGCTTTTCAAATACATTTTGACTACTGCTGTTATGTGTACCAGCCAAAGATTAAGCTGTACACACACAGACTCTGTGGTGGACCGTAAAAAAACAGGCTGTCTTTTGTCTGGTATCGACGACGAGAAGCGAGGTGCGCAACGATGCGGTTACTGTGGATAAAAAAAGACCAGGCTATATTCCATGTTCACATTAAAAGAGGAAAACTACTCCCGGGATCAAACACTGAACACATTTGATGTTGGATGACAAACATTTAAAGCCTCTGGCATGTCGATCGGGAAACCTGATCGATCATTTCACCGTGATTAAGGTTACCTAAGAAGACGGTGCTCGACCAACGCCACGGCTAGCTGACCACAGTCCGAGTGGTCGCTGCGACACAGCGCAGCGCGCAGGAAAAGGCGACAAAACACAATCAGCGAAAATTACAGGAAGTGTCGATAAAACGTCTGCCCTTACCTTCTGAATGTGGTCCAAACTCTTCTACCAAAAAATATGATGAAGTCATGAACTAATGGCGTGGTGATTGTGGTGTATATGGACGGCGAAGCTGCCGATTCCTCCTCCACCTCTCCGTCCCGGAGGGTCTGCAAACACTCTGCACGGAATTTGGGGGCGTCGCTCAAAATGCGAAGTGGACTCTGCAATCGAGACCGTGGCCAGAGCGACCCCATAATCATCACAGAGCAGCCCAACATACACGGACAGCCGTCAGTGTGATCACCACAGGATGACTTATTTAACTATGATACATTCTGTGCATCATGTACCGTCGGTGTCAAGCTGAAATCTGCGTTTAGGACGCCCCCCCCCCCCCCGTTAACTTCACAAGTAATGGGAAGACTATGGGCTCTAAAACAGGAATATATGCCCACGTCATGAAATACATGTGGATAAGGTCATCAAAAATGATAATACAGCTCTATGTCAATAATCCCATGTCATTCATATTTACTCAGTTAAAGTATTCTGTTTAGTTCAACCATTAAAAAGGAACCAAGGTCCAAACATTTTAGAGAAAAAACATAATTAATTCGCAGTAATCTGTAGTCAAGTCTATTCAAACCAGCAGTACACACAGGTCAGTTCATAGTGGCTTTAGTGTGATGCCACTGAGTTGCTTAAAATGATAAATGATATTATTTTGCTCTTACTGAAGTGTTTATGGTATGATATGATGTTAAAAATAACACTGTAAAGATGCGTCACATTTTTATTATTAAAACAATTAGGAGAAGAATATAGTGGATTAAAAAATACATGGGGTTTTCTTTAGTCTTCGGTGTGCTTCATCAAAACCGGAATCTTATAAACACACTTTTGCTTCACTCACTTAATGATAAAAAAAAAACTACAACTGCTTATATTATTAAGTAAAATACGGTGTCAGGATAAAGGAATACAACAAATAAAGGCAAATTAGTGATTAAAAAAAGTGAAAATATAAAGTGATTTACATGACTGTAGTACAGGTTCATTAAAGGTCAACCCTTTTAGCAACGTGTTAGCCTAAATGCTAACGATCCTCCAGCACTTAATGACGTATGTTAATATGATCCTTACAGCAGACATGTAGCCCCCCCCCCCCCCCCTCACTGTGAGCGGGGTTTAGCTGTCAGCTAAAGGTGACTCCTCATAGGAACGATCAATTCCACTCCACCTTTTGTGAGAGTCCACCGTTGCATCTGGCACGCAGCCAGATACCTCGTGCGCGTTTGTGGGAGTGTGTGTGTGTGTGTGCGCGTGCGTGTGTCACTATGGGAGCAGGGGCCCACCGTACTCGAGTACACTGTCTGGCCCGGACTATCCGTGTAAACACAGCGTCTTCTAGTGGTAACCACACACACTGCCACTTTTTAAATGGCCACTAGTGCTGGTGGACACTGCAGCAAGGCAGCCCACCTCAACCTGAGCACAGAGACATCCCTCTGCAGTCACCACACAGGCCTGTCTACTCATTATCCCCCTTTAATGTTCATCCAGAGACACGCAGCTCTGCCTGGCCCACTGCTTACAGAGGTGAAATGCATTTGATCCTTCGCTTAGGAACACAAACATATGAAGGAGTTTGGCCCCTCGCACCGCAGTAAGGAACGTGACCTTAAAGTAACAATGAAGACACGAGTCAGATAACGCTACAATACGTTTATTTACATTATACAGAAAAATTAATCATGTCAGACACACCAAAGCCATTCGAAAATAAATCCAATGAGCAAGCAAAAATATATCCATTATCAGCAGAGTCTTTGATCAGTTGACAGATTAAATACAAGTTTCCACAAGGCAAACTGTAAGTGGTTACACACAGCTGACTGTTTGGACAGATTATTGTATTCAATTTAAGACAAATATGACTGTTCTTTAATCCGACCAAGCAGCTCTTTGTGCAAAAATCAAAATGTGTAACATTCACATGGGTTTTATAATGATGTATACGCTCTGAGCTCGAGGTAGGGAAGCCACGGTGAGAACATTTTACACCGATCATTTAACCTGTGACAACACTGGTTTTAAAGATTCATCTTCATAATTCATGACGTAGAGTTTACGCTGCATTCACATGAATTCAAGCCGTAGTTGAAAGCAATCAAGATATCATCGTAGTGGAAGAGGGCAGGACATCAGAAATGTGTCAAGCTAGAAAAAAGCAGGATGTGTATATGAACCTCTGACAGCCTCCTGAGAATCAGAGATGTAGTCGACGACAGCAGGAGATTGTCTGTTTCAAACAAATAGACAACAACTGGAACTTCTACATTTTGGTAAGGGGGGGGGGGCCTGGATAGAGCATGCAGGAACTTGTGTGACCATTGACCGTTTTCCATTGATTTCACTAAGATAAGTATTTAGACTGAACTGCAGGATCAATGAAAGAGTGCAAAGAAATATGCAAACAAGCAGAAACCAGTTTAAAACAACTTACTACCTGCGATGCCAAAGACACCGTTAACACGCCCACTGGCATGATTTGAATGTACTTGTTAAGTATCTGCTCTATTACACATCATCCAGACACTACTTTATTCTTAGGGGGCTCGATGTCTTATCGGCTGATTTAAGACATACATCCAGGTAATGGCTGCACATGTTGAGGAGTGCAGTGTGTGAGTTAAAGGGCCAAAAGAATACTGGCAACAATCATTGTAGACAACGTTACATCCTCCACAACCAAATCTACAATTAAAACCTGTGATGACAACGATGAGCTAAACCCGGCCATCCTGCTGCTCAGGTGGACTAAATGTTTCTCTCCTGCGTCAGGTACAGAAGATGGAGTTGATCTGCTGTTTGCCTGAATCGATGTGAATGCAGTGATGAGGAGACTTTTACTTCATACGAGCTTTTGATTGCCTTGTTTTTAGAAAAGGATGGGCAAGTTATGTCATCTTAAGCCAGAACACTGTTACATTGGGAAGACCAACTACCATGGCAAGATAAGTGCTGAAGTTTCAAAATAAGGCCTTTGCTGAATGGAAGAGGATATGCTGAGCAAGGTGAGGCAAAGAGCTGCTGTTTATGGCGTTCAACAACCTACTCAAAAACTAACGGAGACCAGAAGGTCGCCTGCATGGTGAAATATTTCAATGACGTAAGGCCCAGAGAGTATTTCTTGATCAACCTCTACACATTTAGACGCTCAAAATGTCGTTTTTCCGTTTAGGTTCTTCTATGTCTGAGCTTTTCTGATTGTCCCCTTATCTCTTCTCGATGACCTTTGATTGTTAAGTCTTACCGTTCATACTGGATTCGTTTGGAATCAATACAATCTGAATGTTTTAGAAGTTTAAACACTGAGTATTACTGTGAAGGATTTATTTAACTTTGAAGAATCACACTCTAACTGTCATTGTGATGCTGTAACGATAATGATTGAACAAACTCTGGCCGGTACATGGGTGGGGGGTTAGGGGGCATGGGGTTGAGCTATTGGATTAAGCATCCCTCTTTTTGATGATGAGTGGTCCAACGTTGTCCCCGGTTTCCTCGTTGTGTTTGGCATGGGCTCCATCACAGTAAGGGAACTGCACACAATATCAACAGAAGACACTGATCAGGTTTACACCTTCAGAATTCAATGGTACGAGTTAAAGACAATGTTCAATTATGATTTAAAGGATGCAACGGACTGAATCATGACACAGAGCATCATGACACATTGGAGCAGACATGTAATACTACCTCAGCATTTCATCTGAAACATAATGATGGTATAAACTATTTGTTAGAAATGTAACTATCTGTCTAACTTGTATTTCCAAAAGTCTACTCAAGGAACTTTTCTTATGGAAGGAATTGTCATCCACTTGAGGATATCTAAGTACAACTTTGGCCGGGCTTTCCACAGACATGTGGAGTAGTCAGTGGGAAAAAGTAGCCAGCTAGGGGGGTCCGAATGTCTCACTCTGACTTTATATGACATTGATATAAAGGCAAATATTGTCATTATGGCATCATATCGCGGTGTCTTTGTCAGCCACTTCTACACCGCCTTTAAAAAATAGTGTCAGTTCGGCTTTAGTGTAATGTAAACAAACGGCAGTAATGCAGCATGTCGTCTATCAGGGACCATTCAACATTTCTCCCTCCTGTCCGTGTGTGGAGTAAACACTTGACATTATCAGTTAATACACCTGGTATAAAAATGAAGCTTTGGCTGACATTGAATATCAAAGAGCCACAGACTTTGTGTAATATTTTCATTATGATTTATTATCACTGTTAATTATTATTTATGCCTCTAAAGGCAGCAACAGTTTCAGTAAAAAAGCCAAACTAGTTTTATTTTCGCTTTCGTTTTATTAATGCTTCCATTTCAAAAGGGAGAGATGGACTTCTTTATTTACCTTTATTATTTAGTTCTGGATTTTTTTTTTTAAAGACAGCAATAAATAACTTGGAACTTTCTGTTCATGTGATTTTATACATTAGAGATGTTGTAAAATCAATGCTAAATAATCGGGTTAATCGTGAAACCAGGATTATTTCTCAGACTATAATCGGGATGTCAACGTCTATAATCGTTGCATCCCTAATCAGGTCTGAGACCACCTCATAGAGCGGACTCAGAGTACTGTACTAGTATGGTATGATTGCGGTCACACTCATGGAATCAACAGGACTTTAGAGTGAAGCAGACTCCAATCCGGGTCCCTAATGTGAAACCACCCTTAGAATACTCAATGGCTGAACCTCGATGTCCTCCCTAAACCCTGAACCCTGAGTCCTTACTGACTTTATTGACGTCAACTGGAAAGTGATTGAGTGCATGAGGCTGCGAGGGCTCCAATGGTTAAATACAAATGGGACAGCACTTTGCTACTTCTCTGTAACCATGACTACATGATTTCATGTGGCAAAAGCTTATTTTACATTTTTTTACTTTACTCACTCACAGCCATGGCACTTATAAAAAGTTCTAATCAATATAGACCTATATATAAAATGTCTTTGTTGTGGAATAAATAAAGGTTTATCTATATAATATAACGAGACTAACAGGCTCTCTGTCTCTCTTGTTTTCGTTTATAGACTTACAAAGGAGTTCTGAAGTAGCTGTAGTTTCCAAATAAACATTTCTTGTTGACGGTAAATAGAGCGTGGCTTCACCTTTCTGTTTTTTTAACGTCTCTACCTTTTTTTCAGTTTTATGGCGTTTGTTTACCTTTCAATTGTTGTGGGCTTCCCCGGGAAATCGTATGTTTCACGTCACAATGCTATGAACTATGGGTAATTCCCTCACGTTCAGTCTGCAGATATGCCCACTGACGGACAGGGTGCATAAAGGGCTCGTAAAGTCAGCGAGAGATCCCATATATAGATATAGAAACACTTGATGATTTGACAGTGGGACAGCACTAAGCCCTCACAGACGGGAACGTGCACCAAAGTCAGTGAGTGTGTGAGGGTGGACATCGAGATTGGGCCAATAACATTATGGAGAGACTGCAGGAGCTGGTTCGATCCCCAGCTCATCAGTCAGATGTCGATGTGTCCTCGGGCAAGACACATAACCCCAAGCTGCTCCTGCTGCTACCTTGGCGGTGTGTGAATGTGTATGAATGGATGAGTTAATACTGATGGACTCTTTACATAGCAGCCTCTACCATCAGTGTGTGAATGTGTAGGTGTGACCTGTGGTGTAAAAGTGCTTTGAGTGGTCAGAAGACTAGAAAATAATTATACAAGCTCAAGTCCATTTACCATGAGATGGACTCTAGTTGATGGGAAATTAAAGCTACATCATTAAAATATATTGTTAGTTATAGAACTGCGCTATCCTTTTAAAAAGAAGTAGATGTTGCTGAACATCTCACCTCCTCCTTTAATTGAAACAGAACACTCAGTTTAGCACATATTAACATTTATACATCCGACTGTGACGTTTTGGGCCAATGTAAGTGGTGTGTGTGTGTGTGTGTGTGGTCATATAAAAATTGTTTCTTTTGCATAAAACTCCTGAAAATGTTCTAAGATTTAGGGTTCAGATGCAGGTGTGAACGCAAACATCCTTCTTTTTTTTCACCGATTTTTCCTGTAATGTTTCCTGCCAGACCCTCCGTAAACATTCTGAGTGAAGTCCTGTCCCCCCCCACACACCTTTATAAATAAATACTATTTACTACAACTTTGGATGTTTTCTGTGTAGGTTTTTTTTTCATGTACTTTTGTTCATTTTCAAACTCATAATTTGAAAATAGGTTTAAGGGATTCTTTCAGTATCAACTTTACGTTTTTAAAGTCAATAAAAATAGAATATGTAATAACAGCTACTCAGTAGGCCGCTGAAGCAGCTGCTTGAAGCCTGACCTTCTTTGACTTCCAGCAGCGGCAGTACACAGCTTTGGTGCCAATGTCCTCCATGTCGAAGCTGTGGACCACTTTGGGACTGTCTTTACTGACTGATGAGTTCACCTGGCCTTTTTTACAGCTCGGCCCGCTCAAGTAATGGTTGGCCAGGAAACCTCCCAAAGCTGCAATCACTGCAACAGGCACTGCAACCACCAACTGGTCTGGAAAGAGAGCGAGATGTGATGGACACATTAGGATAACAAAAAAGACAATCACACCTGCCTCTGTATTGCTTTCTATAAAAGCTCTAGAATTTATTTCCTTCTGAAATACAAAATGTGTGGGGGCAACTGTAACACCCCAAGAATGACCAGAGATGACATTTTAAACCACTGAATGTGGTTTTTCACTGGTTAGGCTTTAACTATTAGGATTAAGGGTTGTATTGCCTCACTTTAAAAAACAAAACAAAACAGGCATGTCCAACAGTTTTTTGAGTGATAGACCTTCAAAATAAAAGTTTCTATAAGCTACAAAGTAACTGGGGTTCTTGGGTTTTGGACAGAGGTTGTGAAATTGCCCTTTAGAGGATTATCCAGGTCTACTGAGCATCACATGATGCAGGAGGAACAGGGGCCCTCCTGTCAAGCTGAATCAACATGTTCAGTGGTTAGCTGCCTCACTAACAGGTTAGCCGAGGCCATCATAAACACAGAAACTCCTGCTGGAAAGGCTGGGATCACCTCCAAGAAACTGGAGGGTTTCAGGTGATGAGCCAAAGCTTTCTGAGTGACCGTCTAAAGTTGGAAACACGAAGCTACAGTCAACAGGAGCCCGGCTGGCTGCACAGCTAGCCTGCTAAATGCTGTAAACAAGCTTAAGAATGCTAGTGGGAATAATGAAATAATAATGAAAATATTGTATTTGCAATTTGTTGGAATACATGCACTCGAGGTTGTCTTCATAAAATCGCAATGTTGAGTAACAAATATCACGTGGTAGTAGTTGTTACTTGGGGTAACGTCAGGACATGGTAAGTTTACGTTTAGCAGGAAACGATAAGGCTCATAAAATGCTAGCATGCCATTAGCTAGTTTAGATACTTTACCTTTAGAAAAGCGGAATCCCGAGCTGGGTAATGCAGGCATCGCAGGTAAAGAGGTTGTCATGTTTTTTTGTGAACGGTGTATGGGTCTGTCAGCTAGGGAAAGCAAGGTCAACCAGAGGCTTATCGTGAGTCTCTCCGCCCCAGTATTAGTGCTCTGGCTCTTACGTCACCTGCTGCAGTATCCAATGACAGCTGAGGAGGGATTGTGATATTCTGACGGAGCGAGAGGGAGCCCCGAGCCTGTGGCGCACTTCCGGCTTCGCTTTAGCTGCGCTGACAATGAAATGTTGAACTTTTACATTTAAGTTATTTGTATCTATTTGTCCTAGTATCAAGGACGTCAATTGATCCTACGAGAGACATTTTGGGCAAGAGGAATCGAAAACACACATCGTTTAGTGCAAATTAATTCCTGACCATTGGACGCACTTTGGTCCGCTGTGGGTGAATCATCTTGACTGTGTGAGCTCTGGAGACTACCAGCTGCCTTTAAAGTTTTTTAGCCCTTTTACTAAGTAAATGCAAAAGGGTCAACAAAACCCTTTGATAATCTTAGTTTAATATAAC